TGTAGGTGGAAATTCAAGTTTAATTATTAAATTAAGGCAGAGTTTAACAATATAATTCAATTTTTAGTATTTAATAATTTTAAATTATTAACTATATAAAATTATTATGTTTTAATCTTTTTTATTTGATTTCAGAATAAATAGTCCATCAAATTTGATTATAATCACAATTTTACCTTATTATTTGGTAATTGCACTAATTAGTCAATAAATTTTAATTTCGTTAAATTATTTAGACCCTGTTCAGTAATAATTTTTAAATTAGCATTTAGCATTTTGAATCAAATTAAAATTTTATTTTATTAATTATATTGTTGAATAACGTGATAAATTAAGAAAATATTATAGTAATAAATAGCATGCGAAAGTTAAATAGTTGTTTGATAATTTTTAATTGGATGGAGTAGAAGAGCTATTGAACCGACACAGATATAATATAAGAACGTAGGTACTACAACATGCAAGTCTTACTTCTTCAATTTTTATATTGTTCAAGTCAAAATTTTGCATTGGCTCGTGACCTTGTTTAGCGCGCCAGTGTGAGCCGTGAACTTTGAAATTTGTTGTTATTCCGAAACAAATTGAAAGTATTTAATTTATTATGGATACTTGCAATATGTAAAATTCAAATTATACATATAATTCAAAGTTTAAAAAATTGCTGCTTTTCAATTCTCTTATTACATTAAATACAATAATGAGAAATTTTATTTTTACATTTAATTATAAAATCTTTCAGTTTTATTTTTCAATATATAACTTAATTTCAAATTATAAGAGAACTAAATTTCCATCATGAAATTACCAAAGTAAATTTTTACCTACAAACCGACAATTGTAAAGGTACAATACAATAGAGTTAGGCATATTTTTGATTCTTATAGAGTATAACTATAAACAGACAAACATACCAAACGATGTGAAACTAAAGTAAACAGAGTACTAAAACGAGAACGTCCTTGGACGTAGTGGGAGAGTTGAGACATGCAAGTAGATGGTATAATAATTTTGCGAATGTCTTGCCAATAAGGGAGTTGCTGAAACATTGCATTTTCTTACTTAGATACAGTGAGGTCTTGTGCTAAGAAACTTGCTCATTATGCTGTTTGTTCATAGCTTTGATTGCTCTAGCTTTTGCTTTCTAAGCTTGCTGCAAGTTTTTGAGGCTAGGCAGTTTATGTGTTAGCGTTTCTAATCTCAAAAAACGTCTTTTACTTTGTTGGCTTAGGTGCAAGTGGAGTGCACTCGTGTCTGATTTTCTTTTTTCATTGTTTTGTGAAGTATGACAAATCGATTATTAGATACGGACACTATCTGATGTATTTCCAGTTTTGGTATATTAGGTTTTGACTAGATTTTTTACTTAAGTTATCTAAGTTAGGTTGAGTGTAAATGGGTGGTCTAATGACTTGAAATAGTTCTTTGATAAATTAAATTTTTGCGTAATTTAATAAAAATTACATTTTTCTTTGCTGATAAAAAAATTTTGGTTCTCTTGGCTTTTACCAATAATTTAAGCCACAAACTGTACAAAATTACATCAACTCAAAAAGTAAAAATAAAAAGGAAATGGGCCTGAACATTTGATATGCAAATCTTTATGACTTTCTACTCATTCCTTAAGACTTTTTAAGACTTAGAAAACACCAAAAGTTTAATCTTTTGAAAATGATATAAGAATTTCCACCTCCAAAAAGCTATTATTAAAATTTTAATTAATGTTCACTAAAGCATGAAGACCAAAGATTTTCTCTTTTTCTTTTTTTTTTTTGGTTCTTGCTTTTTTCTCCTTGTCTTTTGGATACTATTATGCCATTAATTAACTTATAATTAATGAAAATTCACAGCTTATTATAAGAAACAAGAATAAGAACAAATTAAGGAAACTTCCAATTGGGATTTAGATATAGATATTAATTTTAGGGGAAAAACCTCCTTTTTTTATTTACTACTAATAAAGATTTCTTATTTGAAGTTGGAAACAATTATTGGTTTGCACTGTTTCTTCCTCTAGCTTTCAGTAATACATATATAGCATCTTGTAGGAGCTAGCTTTTTAGGATACCCATGAAAGAAAGAAATAAAGAAAAGAAAGGAATGGAATGGAAGTAAACTGTAAAAGGAGAAAGAAAAGCAAATGAAGGTCTTGGGTCTTGGATTCATTCATTCATTCTCAAAAACCAATAACCCAATAACACCTAAATCACTGTGTTTTTATGAAAATTTATAAAAAAATTATTGGGTAAGATAGAAAAGTGCCCTCTTCCTACTCATATTGAGATGAGATCCAATAATAAAATTAAAATGGGAAGTAGGTAAAATGGTTAGCATTATGGATTTCTATAACTTATCCAAAAATGGTTAAATATATAAATTCAACTTTGAATATTGTTAATCTAACTTTACCTTACCCTCAACTTTTACTTTGATTTATCAAACAGTAAACTTATAAAATTACCCTATTCAATTTTAATTTTTGAAAATTGAACTAACCGAATCTTCAAGTTGAAATCTGCAACTAATTTTAAAAAACATTGAATTTTTGCCCTGAAAATTGATTAGATTCTAATAGAACTAGTCAAATTATACCGATCTGATTCTATTTCATTGACTTCAAGAATCAAAATTAGTGATTTGATTTAAAATAATTTGATGACATCGATGAAAATGTAAAACACAATAATTTACACTAACAACCGTTATCATATAAAAGTTACAACTAAGCAAATAATGTCACAGAATAAGTAGATTTTAGAAAAATAAAAGGAGCTAGCAAGTTACTAGTGTTGAAACAATGATTTCAAAAATAAGTTGTTACAATGTAAGCAATGAATATAGCTTCATAAGATCCTCAAACTCATTATTATTGCATAAGACTCTTACGAGAAAGAAGATGGATCTTTATATTTCTTAACCAAATAGTTACTGATAGATACATATAAACTGAACGTAGGGACCAACAATTTTCGGTTTCTAACTAAAAACCGAATCAAACCGATTTATTTCGTTTGGATTCGAATAATTATTTTAAAATTTTGGTTACTGATCAATTTGGATATATAAAATTATTGGTTTTCATTTTTTCATTCAGTTATTATATATTATAATATATTGGATTTCTTTTTAAACTCAAAATAATTAATTTATTTTCAAATAATCGAATCCAACCGAACTTAAACTGATTTAATTCCATTTAGATTGATTATAATACTATTTGTTTCCAATTTGGATACTATAAAATATATTTGAATAAATCAAAATCCAACTAATTTGATTTAATTCAATTTAATTAACCAAATGTTGGCTCTTGTCACCATGTAATGATTTCTTAACCGTTTATTCATCACAATTGTTATAATAATGATGAAATTCCCTGTTCATCACATGGGTTACACCCACATGCTGTATTTCTTTTTAACAAAATGCAGAATGGAAATGTTTTGATTCCATTCCTTGTTTGTCTTTATATGCTTCCTAGAAGTTTCACTATATGGATTTTGCTGCTTCTGAAGGAGGCAATACCTTGCATAAAAATATTTTTTAGACCCAAAAGAAGTTTCAATTTCCAGAGTTAAAATTAAAAAATTAGTTAAGCATACAAACAAAAAATTTGAGAGTGGAATCTGTACAGTTGTACCATTTGTCTCATTTAGATATATTAGTTCATTTGATAATTGAAAACACATTCTTCTAATTGAAGGATAAATTAATTAGAAGTTAATTATGAATCAAATCAATACCATCTTGATCAACACTAAAGTAGTAGAATATCAAATAGTATTTTTAAAATGCATTAATGCAATGTTTCCATTTCTTTCTTTTCATGGTTAAAGACTTGAAGGATAATGGAAAAAAAGTTGGAAAAGTTAAATTAGTTAAATCAATCATTTGGGTAGAAGAGGGTGAAAATTAGCAAATGGTCTAAAATGCATTATTGCTTTAATGGATACCAGTTGCCTTCATAAATCATAACAAGCAACCACCACATCAAAGTCCACTTATGATTATAAATTATAGTATAAAATTTGTGCTATAAATAATATCAGTATCATTGGACTGATTCAAATTGGCAAAATCAAAACTTAAAAAATGACTTCAAGCGTTGCTGAGATGTAAGCTAAAAAAGATCATAGCTTTTATTTTCATAAAAGCCCAATCCATAGGAAGGTTGCTTTTTTACATTCAATTCTCTTTTGGAAAATTGCAACTCTTGCAGATACATAAATAGCAACTTTTATAATTAAACCCTAGTAGTAACACTGCAAAATTTTTCAGTCCAAGAATTTGTTTTCAATTGGGGAACTTTCTTCTTGAAATAATGTCCCAAAAGATTGAAGTTATCTTTTGTTGGAAAATAATCTCCATTTGGCATTTGTTTATTAAGCCCAATCTATGAAGCAATCTTAAAACAATGGTTCAGGACAACTTAGAAAAATCTCCATTTCAGTCCAAGAATTTTTCCATTGGGAAACTTTATTCTTGCAATAATGTTCACAATCAATCGTTATTTTGTAACCTTATGCTGGAACAATCTCCATTTGGGATTTGTTTATTAAGCTCAATCTATGAAGCAGCTACAATTTAATTTTTTGAGCAGTTAGGTGAGCAAAGGGTTCGGTTACTGAACTTTCCAGGCGTGACACTGAACCGTCCAAACCAGCCAGTTTTGATTGGTTTTACCATATTAGTTCGGTTATAAGCCTAACCAATTAATTTCTATAAAACCGAGCCAAAACAACAACTTCGGTTCAAACTTATTAACCCGACAAAACCAAACTTCTCTTAAACATGCTAACCGAACCGAAATGGGCCAGCTTGGTCAGTGGTTTTGCACACCCCAATTGAGCACTTTGATATTTTTACTGTCAGACACTTCTCTAACACAAAAATACAATCAAATCACTGCTAATTTTGATAAGAACAATTATGTCTACATAACACAAAGCAATATAAAACATTAGTACAAGACAAAGAAAAACCCGTAACCTATATGAACGATGTCAGAAATTTATCACTCTTTGCCTAGAGAATTAAATAAAATAGCAGCAATTAGTCATCACATCTCTGTTATGTACTTACAAACGGACGCATCCCTTTATAAAGAAGTATAGAGCATTCAAAAACCAGGCCTCACAGTCCCAATTGTGGAACTAAAATTATGTTGTCTATTGCCACAATAATGAGGTAAAGCAAAGGAATTAATGTACAAAATTCTCTAGCTCAAACCTGCTCTTCCTAGAACTCAAGACTACAAATTCTACTTGAAAGTTGAAACTGATTATGAGACTAAGTTGTTCACTACTCTAAAAAGGATAAATGATTACAATAATGTGTACATGCTGAAAATATCCAATGCACCATAAAACTGAAAAGAAAAACAAAAGGATTAAAGTTTAGCCTATGACCAGAAATTATATAATTTTATGATACAAAAGTTCATTTTTAAGCAATTTTTACCCTGCATCCCAATTTTCCTCTGTCGGGTGAATTCACCATCTTCACATTTTCTGCAGTCAGTTCAAACCTACTCTGCATAAAAAGGAGAAACAATGTGTAAGAAGTCTCCAAGGTGATAACAACAAATATGAGTGCTAATTTCATCATAAGAAGATAAAGGAAGTTGTTTATAATCTACAGTAATTTGTGGATATGATTGTGCTAGGAAGTTGTTTATAATCAACAGTAATTTATGGATATGATTGTGCATATCATTGAAACAATTGATTATTTTGCTTTGACAACACAACAAACATCCACCAATGCAAGGGAAGTTCCATGTTCCCTAAACCAGTTCAATTATTTTCTCAGTATTACTAGCGCTTCATATAAATAATAGAAGTTCATCACATGCAATTACAGTATATGATTGTGTTTATCAACATGACACTTATCTCCTTGAAGTTCCACTAGATTTTGAGTGATTCAACTGATAGCTAAAATTAAATTAGCTTCTTTTTCATTTCTATAATTTTTCTACAATTTTGGCAGACATTTAATCTTCTACTTGCTCAAGATCGAAATATTTATATATAGCTTTTTTTAGGGTTTGAATTCACAGGTAATATTAAATTCAACAGGAAAACAACTAAAAGTGGTCATGTTAATCTACATTTGACAAGTTTTTTCTTTTTTTTTTTAAAAAAAAAAAAAAAAAAAAAAAAAAAAAAATTTTTCTACAATTTTTGCAGGACATTTAATCTCTCTACTTGCTCAAGATCGAAATATTTATATATAGCTTATTTTTAGGGTTTTGATTTCAAGGTAATATTTAATTCAACAGGAAAACAACTAAAAGTGGTATGTACTAATTTGACAAGTTTTTCTTTTATTTTTTTAAAAAAAAAAAAAAAAAAAAAAAATTTAAAAAAAAAAAAAAAAAAAAAAAAAGAAAAGTAGAAAGAGGGGCTAGTCTGAATTAACATAGTACACTCAACCAAATTCTATTAGACTCGTGTTTACGACAAACACATTGATAAAAGGGCTAAGATAATTCTGGCTAGAAAGAAGCTGTACAAAACTAAAGGGCACAAGGAAAGTAGCAACCTGTAGACAGAAGAAAGTGAAAAATTGGTCTTAGCAATCTGATTCTAGCCACAGTGAAACAGATAGATACTATTGCTTATTCTCAGTACATTCACACATTGTTCCAAAATTAAAAGACAGGTGAAAAGCAGAAGTGAAAGGCAGAGCTGAAAATTATATGAGGGCAAACAAGGTGTTTACCTCAAACAATTAGACTACCTTAAATGAAAATCTTTTCCAAGCTCCCAACAAAACCACTCAGACAACAAATGAACCATACTATGACAACCACTTCAGCCAGCTACTTTAATGGCGCCAATTTCATCAATTTTTGAGCTCTTATGCTGAAGGAAAGTATAAAAAGAAACAGTATTAGAGGGCTTCTTTATAGGAAACAAAGAACTAATGAATGAAGGGTGTCATATTAACATATTCATAAAAAAGAATGGAGAAGTACAGCAAAAATGAGTCAGATCTACATTACCTTACTTTTTTTGTGCTTGTGAACGTCATTAAGATCTTCGTCTCCATCATGCTTCCTTTTCTGAATGCACATTCCAAAGATACAATGCATTGAAATTCAATTATATTAAATTTTAGAAAGGAGAAAAAGAAACCCCACAGCATTGATAAACTTGCACTTTAAAAATCACAATCAACAGCGAAGTAGTTGAAAATTTTTATTGTTTCCCATTTGCAGCAAATTAAGATGCATTCAAGCAAAAGTAACAAGAAAGCAATGGCCTCTGACCTTTTCATGGTGTTTTTTAGAGTGATCGCCACCAGAATCATGATGACCACTTCTATCCTTCTTCTTCTCCTTGTCTTTATCTTTACTTCGATCTTTATCCTTATGGCGGTGTTTGTGCTTCTTATGCTCTTTATCCTTCTCCTTGTCTTTATCTTTGTGCTTTTTATGCTTTCTCTCCTTGTCTTTGGACTCACTTTTTGATTTCACTGCAATTGTAGGAGTCCCCTTCTCTGCCTAAAGTAGATGACAAGGAAAAAGATCAAAAAACAAGTTTCATTGCCTCAACCAGAGGGATCTATAGCAGAATATCAATACTGATAATTGCACAACCAAATATGTAGCCTGTGGATCTAGAGTAGAGAAAGAGCGGTCAACTGACCCCTCTTTTTCTCAAAAAAAAAAAAAAAAAAAAAAAAAAAAAAAAAAAAAATATGATTTTCTTTATTCCTTATAACTGGCAGGTGTAATTTGTGCTTTCTTATGCTTGCCTTTCATAGTCCTTCTCCTCCCTTGTCTTTATCTTTGGGTAGCTCTTGTTAAAATGCTATTCTCTTCCTTAGTCTTTTGGAGCTTAACTACTGTATTTGATTTATTCATCTGCAATCTTGTAATGGAGATCCCGCGTTCTCTGCGCATCAAAAATGTAGATGACAAAAAGGAAAAAAAAAGAATGTCATTAAAAACAAGAAAGTTTTTTATCATTGGCCTCTTCAACCCTAGTAGGCAACGATAATCATGCAGATACCTAAATGCACATACTATGTACCTTTGAAAAATTGGCACAAGACCCAACAATACTGTATAATGGCGACTAAGATGGGATCTAGCCAATAGTATCAGAAAAGAGAGCAGGAACGGGCCTTTACAAGTCAGACCTGGACACCCGGTCTAGATTTATCTCAAACAAAAAAAAGACAATAAAAAAATGAAAAAAAAAAAAGAGAAAAAATAAACAAAATAATGCCTATTATATATGTCTAAGAACAATTAAACCCCTCAATGTTTTATTTGATATGTACTTATGTTTGACACTCATTCTCTCTTTTTGCTCCTTTTTTTTTTCCATAAAAAAAAAAAATGAATGACCAAAAAAAAAACACAGAGGAAAGAGATTTCTTTCTCCAGACTTGAAACAGTACGACGGTTTCCCATCAATTTCTAAAGGAAACGGGCCAAAGGTCACAATAAGTATTGAAAAAAAAGATTACTACCTTAAATCGGTACATCGCACAAACAGAGAGCCAACGCATAGGAATATGTATTCTTTCATTACATTGGATAGGCAGCTCTTCTTTACAGCGAGTTTGTTTCCTTTAAATGGAGCCAGATGTCTTCTCATCATGACGTGTTACCGCTTCTTAGGAGATCCACTAATATTTTTGGTCCAAGTATGCCATGTATTTTTATTGCTTTCCTCTTGTAGCACTTGAAGAGGAGGTATTCTGACAGATAAGCATAGATCCTGAATTGAGCAATGCGTTCTGTTCCTGTGAATCTCATAAAATACTCAGAAATTCTTCTTCCCACGTAAGTGCTGCACCTCACTACACATTTGTGTAAAGAGTTGAATGGGAGTCGTGTGTCAGAAAATTTAAGAGAGATAAAGGTTGTCGCTGATATATTCCGCTACCTATTGCACCAATGAAGAATGCACGATGCAATTGGATTAGAGGAGCAATCACTATAGATATCAAAATGAGATTTGAGAAGAAGAACCACAACACTAATACAGCATCTCTAGTGACACTGATAGCATTTGCAAAGAAAAACCGCAATCAACAACTCAAGCTTCGCTATACAACATCAGAACAATTAATCTGCCCACTCAAGGTCTGGGAACTACAAACTTCTACCTCAGCTACCACATTTCTATTTTTCAACTTCCACTGCCTGGAATTGCTTCTCCTAATGTTTCAATTGTCCTTGAGAAAGGTGTAGGATGCACAGGAAATTTAGGTATATATGACAACATTAATAAGCCAATTAAACTGGATGTGCCAATACATTACAGAAATGTTAAAAAAATCGCTTCAAAAATATACCCTTGCGTCCCAAAAAAAAAAAAAAAAAAAAAAAAAAAAAAAAAAAAAAGCCTATATATATGTCTAAATTAAACCCCTCAATTTTAATTTGTTACTTGTTTGACCTCTCTTTTCTTTTCCAAAAATCAAATGATGACCCCAGGAAAAAATTTTCCGCATCCGGCACAGGCCATCCAAAGTGAAAAGTACACCTAAAGGTACAGGAACAGAAGCCAAGGAAGAATATTTCTTACAGAAGGCAAATCTACAGGAGTGGTTTCCTTAAATTGGAAGGCTTCTCTGAGTACGTCTAGGTCAAATGGCTGTATGCGTATATTGCTTTCTCTTGAATAGGAGGTATTCTGAATAAGCTGATCCAATTGCATGCCTTCTCCTTTTCTGATTTCAGTGTCTCCCACAACATTGTGAAGATAATGCGTGTCAGAAATTGATAAAGGAAGTGATCGCTTGCAGAAGAACTCATGATGGGGCAACAACTTGTAATGACTTATAAGATCAACAGCACCAGTCAGCTCTCTTGGTCCTGAAGTTTCAAAGAAAACAGCATCACATAAGTGTAAACATCAAATAATCTGCCCTCAAGGTCGGTAAATACAAACTTTACCTCCCAATTTCTTATTTCACTTCCACTCTTTTAATTGTCTGAAGAAAGGTGTAGGATTCAGAAATTTAGAATGACAACATTAATAAAGCCATTAAACTGATGTGCCAATCATTCAAATGTTAAAAATCCTTCAAACCTTCTCAAACATTTAGAATTGATCAAACATGGAATAAAATTTAAACGCTGATGTAGTTGTGTCAATGTGTGGCAGTTTAACATAAACTTAAACACAAATATGGATGCTCTGAAATTGGGCAGATTTGCTATTTGGCATGTTAAATAAAATTGTGAGAATGTCAACCTGGTAAAAGGCATCCAATTTGCAAATTTTGTTATAGAAGAGATGAGTTTTTCCCCAAAAGAACAATGGTGGATATGTCTGTGGTCTGTGGTTGTAGGATTGGGAGTTACAAATCCAAACTGCATACCCAATGATTGAATTAACCATATATAAAAACTTATACCTAAATGATGACAAAAGGATGTTTTTAATAAGTTAATCAGCAAGGAATACTTATCACTCAAAGAATGCAAGAATTTCAAATGCGCTGTGGTGACAGTACCAATATCCACTAATCATTGTTTCCATTTTGATTGTGGAAAACTCATTTAATGAGATCGATTGTATCAGATCATAAGGAAAGTCTTTATTCAAACATGCTACCATTTGTTCCGAGTCGAAAAGAGCTAGAACAGCTTCTTCTCCCTCAGGAAGTAAGATAGCAGGAAATGGAAGATGAGCACAAGAAACATGAATTTAATATTGTGATATGATACATGATCAACTGGATGAAAAATCTACAGTTTTAGAGTTTGATTAAAACAAGGAAATGTGTAAGAAAAAGTGATCCACCTTTGAAGTGTTTTCCTAAACATTATAATATAGAGTGAGATGACAGCAAATCTAAGATCCAACAACTTTGGGAAAATGAAGAGAGAAAAAAGAGCAACAAAATGCAAATGTCCTAAAGATGAATTCTTACCTCCTCCAAACTTCTTGCCTTCAGGATCCATGGGTCAATGTTTGATGAGAAGGCAAACCATTAACTGCAATTTTTTATAAGCGGAAGAATTTTTCATTAAAATGAAATTCAACATCAACAAAAATCAAATTCTAAGAAATAAAAGAAGTAAGAAAGCAGCTAACCAAGTCCTGCTTAAGCTAAGTCATATATTTTAGGGATGCATCCATACCAAAATGCATAACAAGACACTCATAGTTGATCCATTCCGGTATTTTCATCTGGATAAATTACGTTTACATCCCCGAAACTACCCTTGAATTCTTGTTCTATCACATGCTGGGTTATAGTTCAGAAGCAACACGCTAAACCAAATTCTGACATGTCCATTCCAAAGAGATTGACTTTTCAGTCTGTGGATTAATTTATTTTCTATGCTTATCACCACTTTTTGAATGAACATAAGATGGACTGCTGTACTCTAAAACATGGTGAAAAACCAATAACAGTTTAAAATAACCCATCCTCCGTTATCCCCCATGGGCAGCAATTAGTTACCGCCTGCAGCTTTTCAATAACATTCTGTATTGCTCACATAATTGAATACTATCATATCCTCATCAAAGATAAACATTAGGGTTCCTACACTTGCTACTTTGTTCATAATTATGCTTCATTTATAGAAGCACATTTACCGCAAACTCCTTGTTGCAAATATCGTTCTTCAATTCTGCAGACATACTAACAAACATAATATTTTAGTTTAGGTCTAAAACAGGAATAAGAGTCCAGAATTTTATTTTAATGTTCACACCATTATAGCAATTTTATATTTTTTGGATTATCAAGTACTTCTGTAATTCTATTATTTTGGTCAAAGCCTGATTGATAGAATTGTGTTTTCATGTTCAAAGTCCTTTTTCATTAGGTAGTTTGGTGCTATATAAAGGGCTGTAATGTTCTGCTTCGAAGCAGATTTCAGATCTTTGAGTAATAATAGAAACTAATTCTGGTTATTTATTTTTCCTGGTTGTGTAACCAGAACCTATTTAAGTTGAGATTTTGGTCTCTTTGTCCTCTCTTTCAATATTCTCTTGGATCCTCTCTAACCTAATTTTGGATTAGGGTTTTTTTGCTAAATCACGGACACATATCCAGCAAAAGGTTACTTTTTCATGTTGCCAATATATAATATTGTATCTACCTCAAATCAAAAAGATAGAAGAGTTTAAGACAAATTCTAGCAGTCAAGCATGGTCAAGTGTGTGAGAAGTTCTTTGCTTGGAAAGAACTAACTGAGTTTTGCAAATATGAAATTCCCAAGCAAACAAGATGAGCCACTTTTGCAGCTCTGCCCAGTGGAAAAATTGAATTCCGATAGTTGTCATATGCTTGTGGTTTTCATATAAGAAAGGATACAAAAAGATATCAACAATGGCATTCACAAGTTCGTAATATCTCCATTCCAATCACTCCAAAACAGTTATGATGATATTAAATGTTCAAGAGTTACTAGTCAACTGTAGCTCTGGTCGTTCAATGTTCACGTAAAAAAAATCAACCAACATTACCATGCCAATTCTATAACTTCTATGTCCACCAGCTTTATGCTATGCTTTGTTTACGAAATAGTTCAACTCGAAAATGTGAAATAGTTATTCTGTGTGATAGCTTCAATGATATATCAACCTAATTGAAATTGAAAGTAGAATAGTTGCTATATAAAATCGATATTTCACCATTTTGTGCGACACCAATTTATTGAAGAACAATTATTCAATTCTAACAATATTCTAATCTGTGAACCAAATGAAGCCACTAAATCGTGGCATGTAACCTAGTCCCTACACCCGCTACCCTTAAGGCAATAGAGATGCAATTTGACAGCAATACTTCAAAAATTGCAGAGGTAGTTTCATCAATTATCGACCAAAATCGCCTCTTTACTGAAATATTATCCTTTCCCTCTTATATACACTAAGTAAAATTATCCAGTCAGCTCATAGCTACCAAATCCAGAAAGTGAAAGATGGCACACAACATTGACCCATCTTCTTTTTCTTATTTAGTTCTTTATGAACAAAAATAAATTAAGTTATTTGCATTACACTAGGAAGATAAAGAGGCAGAGAAATTAGCTACATACAACTCCTAATAAAATTCTTATACAAAAACAAACATTAGATAAAAAAATTTAGCATACCTTTGACATGGATACCCAAATTTTCCTGTTCAATATTACAGGGACAATTTGGTAAATTAAACCCTGTCTTCCACTCCCTCTCCTCCTCTTCTTTCTTCTTCTTTCCCCAACTAAATCCTCCTCGACTATGAACACCAAACCCCGACAACCCTTTAATACTCGCTACGCAAAAAGCAATAAATTGAATTCCTTACTAGAAAATACAAGCTGAAATCGCAAGTTGAGGAATTTAACCAGAGGAATTGAAATGCTAAAAATGTTGGATTTGTGAGAGTTTTTAGAATCTATTGGGATTGGAAATAACAGTAAAGAGTGTGGGATTAGTGGAATTGACAGATCAAAAAGAAGATTTGAGAAGGTGTAATTTTGAATGGTGATCCTGCAAAAAGTTACACTAGGGTTTGGAAAGGAAGAGGGAGAGAGAGAAAGAGGGCACGCGAATGAGGACTAGAGATTTTCAGGGCTTGGTCTTTGTTTGTCGTTGTTGGCCCTGCTTCCTGGTGCTCTCCTTTGCTTATTTATTGTTATTGTATTATTATTATTATTTTTTTTTTTGTGATGGGTTTAGTTTGACTTAAACACAAATTTTATATTTCAAAAAAACAAAAAACAAAGTTTATTGTTTTTTCATTTTTTAATTTCTAATAAGAAAACCGAGATTTTAATTTTAGCTTCTTTTTGTAATTTATTTTAAAATATTTTTTAAATTCTATGTTGGTCTCTTATTGTAATATATTATGTTTTTTGTCCTTTGAAAATACTCAAATTCATCTAAGTTATTTCTATATTTAATTATTTAAATAATGAGGAAAATTATTGGTTTAGTTTTTCAATAATCAGTAATCCAGAATTTATTGCATTAATGAGAAAAATCTTCAATTTTTAATTAATAATGATATAAAATTTATCAGTATTTCTTTATTTATATTTACTTTACAAATTTACAATAGTGTAAAAAATATTTTGAAATTTGTATTAAAAAATAAATTAAAAATGTTATATTATTTGAAATAATATTAATGATGTTATTAACTATTTGCTGAGGAATAATATAAATTAGTATTAATACTAATTTAATTAATATATAAATTAAAAAATTTAAAAATAATCAAAAAATATTTATTGATGATTTAGCACCTTAAAATTATTCCTTAGCGCGTCGATGTTATTATATTGTACCATGCACTAAATAGGTTTCTATTTATATTGAAATAACATATAAATGATGTTAATGTAACTATTAGCTGAGAGTGAAATAATTATAAATTAGTAAATTAATACTAATTAATAATATGATGTAAATTAAAAAAATTTTAGAACATAATCAAAAAATATTTGTGTATTGATGAATTTAGACAACCTTAAATATTATTACTTCATTAGGCGCGTGATGTTATTAATATTGGTACCATGCACTTAAATAGGTTTTCTATTTATATATATATAATACTAATAGTATAATATTTACTAACTTATCATATCATATTTAAGATGAAAAAAAGAATAGTAATTTTTTATTAAATAAACAAATAAAAATCTATCAAAGTATAATAAAAAACAAAGAAAGTTTAGGATTAATAAAATGCTATTAAATATTGAAGGAAAAAACTATTCTCTATATATGAATATATAGACTCTCTAAGTTTGTTTTCTAATAAAAATATTATTTTAAAAAAAATATTTTCAAGGATAACTTAGTTTTCCTTTCATTTTTATTAATAATATTTGAAAATAAGTGAAAATATTTAAAATTTTTAAACTAATATAATAATAATAATAATAATATAATAATAAAATTTCCTTATTTACAATTTTATCATTAAATATAAAGAACAATGAAAAAAAATATATTTATAACTTCATTCATATTTAAAGATGAAAAAAGAATAGTAATTTTTTATTAAATAACAAATAAATTTCAAATAATAAACAAAAAGTAGATAAAATGCTATTAATATTTGAAGGAAAAACTATTCTCTTAATGAATATAAGACTCTATTTGTTTCTAAAAAAAATATTATTTTAAAAAATATTTTTCAAATAACTTAGTTTCCTTTATTTTATTATAATATTGAAAATAAGTGAAAATATTTAAAATTTTTAACTAATAATAATAATAATAATAATAATAATAATAATATAAATTTCTTATTTAACAATTTTATCATTAAATATAAGAACAATGAAAAAAATGATAAATTTTGAAAATCATTAGTAGCCGGTAGTGTTAGTCGATAGTAGTGGTTGGTGGTGAACGGTGAGCGGTGACAGTGCAATAGATAATTAATAAATTAAAAAAAATATGGATTTATAAAGTTATAATAAATTTATAAAAATCTAAAAAATGTTCTACACTTTTGAAAATAGAAAATTATTTTTATAAAAAATGACTTAATTTTTTTTTATAAGGAATATATTTTTCATTGACCTATTTTTTTGAACGATCTCAAATAAAAAAAAAAATTATAACAAACATTTTTCTGTAAGTTATCTAACGAAAATAAATAGAATTTAAATTTTATTAAAATTTATTTCAAATACATTACACATGTTTACATTCTATATTCCAAATTATGTAATATAATTTTTTCAAAAAAATTTAAAACCAAAAATCTTTGAATAAGTATGAAAATTGCACTCTCACCGATTATCAATTTTGGTTTTTATAGTTAGCTTCTTCAAGCTTCTGTAATTATTGCAATCCACGACGAAAAGCATCTTCTATGTGGGGCCCTTTTTATCCTACAACGGCCAACTGAATTACCTATATACCCTCTGTAGACGGTAGCTCTCGCCCTCTATGTAAAAACCTGCAAATCGCAGAAGATAAGTTTCTGATCGCATTGCGAATCGAGGTCAATGGCGTCTCTCTCTGTTCATCTTCGGCTAGCTCTTGTGCTACTTGCAATAGCGTCGTTTTGCCTGATTGACGAGGTTCGGGGAAGACCTGCACAGAGAGAGTTCGATTATTTTAAGTTGTCTCTGCAATGGCCCGGCACTTTCTGTCACCGTACTCGCCATTGTTGCTCCAAAAATGCTTGTTGCCGAGGGTAATTTCTACGTTATTTAGAAAAAGTTGTACGTTATCTATTTTGGATGAAAAAAAATCGAATTTAAATTCTTTTCTTGCGTTTTTCCTGTTTTAATGATGTTCCCAGTAATTTAAATTCTTTTTTTTTTTTTTCTAAGAAAAGCAAGATAACCAAACAACCCTTGACTATTTTCTTGAATATGAAATTAGAGGATATGAATGCAGTAGTCTGATGATCATTTAGAATAAAATATGTTTATATTCTCCCTCTTTTTTTGGTTTTCTTGAATAATTCAGTAATTTTGATCCTTCTGTGTGCTTCTTTATGGCTTGCACTTCTTTTGATGAGTACAATCATTCTATGTTGCATTTGAAATATTCTATGCATGCAAACCTGGAACTAATATCTCTGTTGATTGTTTTTTCCTCAGTTCAAATGCTCCAACTGAATTTACAATCCGTAAGTATTAAGTCTGTGGATCTGTTTTGTTGTAACTCATTAACTAACTCTGTTCTTCTTTATTTCGGGGAGCAAGATGGTGGTTGAGGCTGCTTGCTGGCAATTCGGGATCTTTTTCCTTATTAATAAGTCTTCAACTTATTCATTTTGAAAAGCTATCTTAAAATATTGAAATAACCCTTTTATTCATTGTTTTTATTTTTATTTTTTTGGAAATTCCCAAACAACTTTCTTCTTTTTCTTGTCATGGATCATTAAGTTGCTGCTAGAATGACGCAACAAGGATTAGTTCTTTTCTTGCAATTTTTCCTCTTTTAAATCATTTTTGAAATGAGTTTTATTCTGGATCATGTTGGAATGGGGCTCTAGTTTTAGCCTTTCTTCGGACGAGAAATATGTTGATACATTAACTGTACCTGTGCTGCAGATGGACTATGGCCTGACTATAATGATGGAACCTGGCCTGCCTGCTGTACACGATCCAATTTTGATGAAAAAGAGGTATATTCTTGTTGCAACTTAACTTGTATCTTTTTCATTTTAATATGGAATTTATATGGGTTTCCACTTATCTGGTGGAGTTCTAAATATTAGAAAATAACTCAGAGAATTTGCAGTTGTATGGTTAGACTGAGAAATAGTTCCAAGTAGATATAGAATTATCAACAAATTGTGGGGATCCTTTATTCGATGCATCTTTCTAACTTAGAACTGAAAAACTTTGTGTGATGCATATTGTGTGTGCCTGGATATTGGTTGCCATAAATATTTTGAAAGATAGTTCTTTCCTATGATACGTATTAGAATTAGTTTTCATGTTAACCATGTGTTAAGACTTAGAAAAGTTAATTTCTTGCAGATCTCATCATTGACTGATGCTCTAGAAAAGTATTGGCCATCTTTAAGTTGCGATTCTCCATCGACTTGTCACGGTACAAGAGGATCATTTTGGGCACATGAGGTGGTTATCAACCATAGACACTTTTTATTGCTAAATTATCCTTAACCACGATTCAAATCTAATATGCTTTGCTTTCTTTGCTGGATGATGGCTGAATGGGAAATGCTGATTGGCAGTGGGGTAACTATCTTTAACTTTTGCTCTGTTATATGATTTAATTGACTTATAAAGTTAACCATCTGCTTTTTTCTTCTACATAAAATGAAATGCTAAGCGGTGCCCTCTTTATCAAGTGCCTTCTCATCAAGATGTGAAAATTAGCTATTTTAGCTTATATCATCAAGATGTGAAAATTAGCTATTTTAGCTTATATCACGTCACGTCTAAAAAAGTCATGAATGTAGAAATGCAGGACTCTATGGAAGCTTGTATCCCTGCTCTCCAACTAATTTGTTGAAATAAATAAATTAGGAAAATGTATTTAATTGAAACTCTCTTTTGACTTTGTTGGGCTGTTTGCAAGAAAAATAAGGGGACAGAGATGGCAGAGGTTTCATTGTAAGGAATACAGCTTGGAAGCAACATCTATCTTGTGGGAAGAGCACACTACATACTTTGTGTTTAATGAGAATGTTTGCTTGCAAAGTCGGGAATGATATTTGGCTGCCACTCTGTAAATGAACAACAATTGTTATGCGATACCTGAGTTCATTTGTGAAAGAATGTGATCTTAAATGTTATGAAAAACTCAAAAAATTGATATGTGTTTGCTCTGCTCATGAAAATGCTGATCTGATTGTGAGGTGTTTCATTTTAAAGAAATCAACTAGAAAAATCAGTTGCCTTTACATGGGCACTATCTTTTTATGACTTATGGACTAATAAATTATGATGGAATTCTCAAACGTATCCCTGTCAAGAATTTGTATGCAAATTTGAATTTCACTTGAATTTGAAATTAATATATTTCCTATTTGTAAATTTTTGTTTTTTCACATTGTACTTGCAGAGAAGCATGGGACTTGCTCTGCTCCAGTTGTTAGAGATGAATACAGTTACTTTTTAACAACCCTTAATATTTATTTTAAGTATAATGTCACGGTAAGTTCTGGGAAACCAATTTTGCTCATGAACTATTAACTTTTGTTTTCATGCATTTTACAGTTAGCTATTTTCATTTATAACATAAACTAGAATCTTGAACATCATAGTGGAATTAAAGACGAAAAAAGAAAGCACAGATTATGTTTTAAGATTTTTGAGAAGATTATAAATGTGTGTCTATTTCATATTATCTGTTTGCAAAAGTCAAGGACTTAGATAAAACCTCAAACCAGAAACATGAATTTTTATCACCATGGTGAATTAAACCACTGCCTAGACTTTCCTAAGTTGTAGTCTTCATGACAAATCTCATTTTTGTTTCAAAATTGCCTTTATTTGCTTGTTGGATTGTAGTTGAAATTCTATTGTATGAACAATCAATCACTCACAAGGTTTATGGCTGTGTCTGTAAGTTGAATGCAAATTTTGGTTATATTTATTTGCTTGTATATTCCAGTTACCTCATGTTGTAATATTTTGGCTAGAACCTATGTTTAAATGTTGTGGTTTATCTAATTGTGTCACTGATTGTTTTGTGCAATGTCTGATTTAGAAAGTACTTAATGAAGTGGGATATGTTCCTTCAAATACTGAAAAATATCCTCTTGGGGGAATTGTCTCTGCCATCGAAAATGCTTTCCATGCTACCCCATTTATTGTTTGCTCAAGAGGTGAAGTGGAGGAACTTCATTTGTGCTTCTATAAGGATTTCAAGGTTAGAGTCTTCCATTTATGCTTCCTAGACTTAGGTGTTTAGCATTAGATTCAATCATTTAGAAAAGAATATGCACATGCACTGTCTACAGGGAGTGAAGGCCCGGCTAAAGTTATTATTTGTTCTTTTATGATATCAATGGTTTAGCAGTATACAGTTTTAGCATGCTTAGTATCTAATCTTGTGACGTGAAGGTTCTTGAACCTTGAGAGTTTAATATTAAAGTTCTTATGAATTCCTACTTTTTTTATCTTCTTTTTCCTTTATTTCTTTCTTTTTTTTCTCCCCGGTAATTGTTGACTAATTGTATCATAAGAATAATTTGATGCTGATGTATTTTGCAAAACCTTAATATGGCATGATTCAAGTACCCTTGTTGTGCAATAACTTGAATCTCTAATTGTTTTCGCTTTTTACATAGAAATTGATTTGTCTTCTGAATGTTGCTTTTACAGCCTCGGGATTGTGTAATTGGATCAATAATTCAAAATATTTATTCTTCAAGGAGCTCATGTCCAAAGTATGTTAGCCTGCCATTGTATTCATTTGGTAAGTCTCTGATTTTGCCACACCTTATTTTCTCTCAAGTATTACATGTATGATGACAACACATTTTTCTCGTTGACCTAAGTTATCAGCTAGTCACATCTCTGAAACGTGTGTGTGCAAGACTAAATATTTCCTGGCTCATATGCAACAGTTTTGTGTTCTGCTGTTAAAGTTATGCTTTTGAACTTCTCATCTGAAGATTTTAAATAATCAGACAAATTTTAGTGATCATTGGGACATCCAAAAGTGGTGGCCAGAGAATGAGAGGATGGGATTTTGGCCGAGTATGTTGAAATTTGGCATATAGCTGATCCCAAATAGTCTAGGATTAAGTCAAGCTATTTTGACTGGAGAATTATCTTGACTGTTAGCATACATTCATCCTACATGATGTACTTTGATGGATGAGCTGTCATTGTTTTTATGCTTTCCATCTTGTCACTGTTTTGTTTCTTGCTGAGGTTTCAGGTACGCCTGTTTCCTATGGTTCCTTGCGGGGTGCCATAGCGATAATTTCGCTAATTCTGGCTTTTTTCATTGTTTGACTGGATGATGGGTTTGATCTTTTGGAACATCTTTCATGTTCTGGGAATCACATCATCAGTTAGACTTTTGAGGAATTCAAGCCTCCTTTTCTTCTTCATAGGCCCTTCACTACGCTTAATTTCTATGTCTGATATTCCCATATAGCTGGATTTATCTTCCTCCTTTTTTCTTATGTAGTTGTATTGCTTTTTCTGTATATCTTGTAGTTTGCAATTCTCTACGTATTAATACTATAGCCTGTTCATTAGAACAGGCTAGCACTTGTGAAACAGATTGTTCATTAGCCTGTTCATTTAAATTTTCAAGACAATCCAAGATGGAATCCATGAGGCAAATTTAGACTTCTTGAATTGGTCATTATCTACTATTGCAGTATCATGTTTAGTGTGCCAAATCTCTTCCCCACCATTTGACTTGAGTTTGGCAAGTTCTCTGAGGAGGCTGTTGGCCTTGGATCATTCCAAGCTCCCGTATTACATTGCTACTTTTAGGCATTTTAAGGTTTAGCCTTCTAGGAGTGATTATTTGAAATTGATCTTTCCAGAGAGTGACAAATTACCATAACAACATTGTCGTCTCTCACAATAACATTATGCCACATTCGGTTCATCTTACTTTTTTCCTTTTTTTTTTTTTTTTTTTTAATTCTGTTATATCTTGTAGGTTTGCAAATTCCTACTAACGTATTAATACTATAGGCGTGTTCAATTAGAACAAGAGCTAGACACATAGTGAACGCAGATTGTTCATTGCCCTGTGTCATCAATTAACATTTTTCAAGACCAATACCCAAGAATAGGAATCCATGAGGCATAAATTTTAGAACCTCGTAGTCTTGAAATTGGTCATTATCTTAACTATTAGCAGTATCATTGTTTTTAGTGGCTGCTAAAGTCTCTTCATCCCCCACATTTGACTCATTGATGTGTTTGGCAAGTATTCTCTGAGGAGGCTGTGTGGCCTTTGCAAGATCATTCACAAGCTTCTGTATTGACATTGCATAAACTATTCTCTAGCATATATTTAAGGTTTAGCATCCCTTACTAGGTAAGTGATTCAATTGAAAAATTGATTTTACTTTCCAAGAGAGTGACATACGTAATACCATAACAAACATTTCGTCTCTCAACAATTTAACATTATATAGCACTTACATTCGGTTTCTATCAATTACTTTGTTTTCCTTTTTTTTTTATTATTGTTCTTTTATATGAATTTTTTTGAACTCATGACTGTCACTTTTGACATGTTTGTTAATCTGTATTTTGGTAGGCACTAATGGATGCAGAGAAACTAGCAATTCCATCGGATGGCTGATGATGAATAAAAGCTCTTTGAGAATTAAGATGTTGGCAACTTTCAATGTTTGTAGCAACTGCTCATCTTGAACGCCCCTTCACTGAGTAATCAATATGTGATTGATACAAATTGTACAATTAATGAACAATAATTACAATTAAAGTTTAGGGATATGACAAATAAGCTTAAACTTTGCTCTGAGCACAGTAGTTTAAGATAAAGACCTAATATGGAATTTCTATCAAGCAGACTTTAATAATATAAGTGATAATATTACTTATGAAATCGGATTTATAAATTCACACAAGATATATCATGGTTTGAGAGATGTAACACAATAAGCTTAATTCGAAAAATTATAATGTTTTGTTAAATTCATCGAAATTGATTTAAAATGAAGTGCTAAATTTTTATCATTTTTTTTTTTTTTTTTTTGAATTTTTTGACATGACTCACTTTCATGTTTGTATCTGTATTTTGTAGGCACTAATGATGCCAAAACTGCAATCTCATGGATAGCTGATGATGATAAAGCTCTTTGAGAATTAAGATGTTGGCACTTTCATGTTTGTACAACTGCTCATTTGACGCCCCTTCATGAGTAATCAATATGTGATTGTACAAATTGTACATTATGCATGAATTACAATAAAGTGGGATATACATAAGCTTAACTTGCTCTGAGAAGAGTTAATTAGCCTAAATGAATTTTATAACAGACTTAATAATAAATGAATATACATGAAATCATTTATAAATTCACAATATCATGTTTGAGATGTACAAAAGCTAATTCGAAATTATATGTTTGTTAATTCATGGAATTGATTAAAATAGTGCTAATTTTATCATAACAGATAAAATTTGCGAATGAATTAATACCAAGGATACCGAATAGAAGACTTTAACAGAAATGTCCATTATACTATTTTATGATTTTGGTTTAGCCTCGTGAAGGAACTTGTCCATTATACCATTTTATGATTTCGGTTGAGCCTCCTGGAGAAACTTGGCCTCGTCATTATCATATACTCCACTGAATTGAAATCTGTGTTATAAACATTGCAAAATGAGCAAAAAAGAGAGAAAAAGAAGGCCAGAACAGAGTCGATTGTGTGAATCTCTCATTTAGTTTACAAGATCTTTAGCTAGTTGTTTTGCATTGAAACTTAAAATTTTGGGTCAACCTAAAAAATCAACTAATCTTAAAATTACAAACCTGTGTGCATCTGGATGGACCCGGACTGCCAGTGGCTCATCAAGCTCAGAAACTTTGATGCTATAGCTACAAATGATATGAATGTTGGAGAGAGAGAGAGAGAGAGAGAGAGAGAGAGAGTTCTTGTAAGGATGTAATCCCATTCTTTCTCCAGAATGAACCAACCAGCATGTTGATCAAAGCAAAAAAGTGCATCATGGGGAAAAGTGTAATTTTACACTTCTCATGACTCTTTGAATCTGCATATCTTTGTTTGCAGGCTGGCTCTCCCATCTCACATTGATCAAGTTTGGAGTACTAAAACCAAGCATCAGGAGGAAAAAAAGGGTGTTAATATGACAACATAAGAATTCAGTTCTCAGGAAATTTGACATGGGTAAAAGGCTCAAAATAGCGACAAAAAGTATGAGTAAAACCTTATGCATTAAATGATCACCAAAAAACGTTTTCTCCGCCAAAGTTCAAACCATAGAAACCTCAGAACAAACAATTTGGCATGTCTTATATCATCTGGAGTTCCCACGTTAATTGGTCAAGATCACGTACAACTCACATCTCCCCAGAAAGAATTCTGCTTTTAACAGATTATCAACCTTCAGAAAAAAAAAATTGATTAGCAGAACTGATGAAAGGATGAAGCCTTTCACTTCCAACAGTATTCCTTCCTCTGAAATTTACAAGTCTAATCATTTTGCAAAGTAGCATACTCAGATCACATTGATATTCTTAACAAGGTAGCAAACTAGAGCTGACATTAGATGTCTTACCATAGGCTGCATGTATTAAGGCATATATCACTTGGCAAACAGCCACTTCAACCATGTAGAAAAGCAAAATTTTGAGAGGTGTTCAGGCAAATCCACCTGCACAGTATAGTTGATGGTCAGATATTTGTAACAACTCTAACCTACTGCATGCTAATGAGACTAAGGTCAGTCATACACACAAAAAGATGGAGGCAAGGGCAAGGACCAACAAGGAATACTTGAAACCATCAGAAAAAATATCAGCTTCAATGCTTTTGCCACAAAAAAAAAAAGTCTCAAAATAGCCATTCATATAATGATACTCACTAACACTACTAATCTCTTTGCAACTACATTGAAGGGTGCAAAGACTAAGTTTAAACTCAACAAGGAAAATCTACAATTAGCTTAATTTTCTAAAAGGACAAATGAAGTGGGACAAAAAAGAAAAGAACCTTAAATGACACTTGAAATGATGGAGATAGTATCATCTAAGATTCAATGCCTGGTGTTTTGGACAAGTTTCAGGCATCTTTAATTAATAAAAAAATGTGTTGTGAATATATTTGACAATGTTTTTATGTTAATAAAGCATAGAAGGGTGCAGTGGTACAAAAAAAAATGTTGCAACAAAAGAATCTACATAATTCCTGTGAAAGATGATTATTGAGCTCACACTGGTCCATGATGCAGAAAAACCATCTGTAGAGAGCAACCAACTTCCAGCCCCAGCTTTCAAGTCCTGCTGATTATTTGATGCATCAAAATCTAATAGCTCATTGTCATATACATCGTCATCATCCAATTTTCTTCTTATCTTCTTTCTACTTTTCTTTTCCTTCCTGCGCTTTCTTTTCATTGATGCATCATTATTCAATTCAGATTCATTCTCTTTCAGCAATCCATCATAATGTAGCAGTTCATATTTATCAGATTTACGGAAACCTATACCATTATTTGAAAGTAGACATTCCCATGACTCTGAACTCTGGCTTCCAACTGATAATGCGTAATGGAGAACCCAAGACTGCAGGCCCAAGAACTTAATTGATTCTGTCTTTTTCATCTTCATGCATTCATTCAGTAAGGGGGCCAAGCTGCCTGAGATTGTGCAGACCTGAGATACAATTTCCTTGATTTTTGATTGTTCCTCTGACTCTTCATCATCACGCACAAGCCGCAGAAGCTGGCGTCCTTGATTGATAACCGCACTTAACAGAAGTAGCTGATCAATTGATTCACATTCACTAAATTTAGAAAGTACAAGCTCGAGCCAACAAGATGAGTCACAAAAAGCCATTGATTCCATTCTTGGGCTTAAATATCTACGAAATGATTTCAAAAACGTGAACAATTCTTCCTCTTCAAAAGTGATAAGGAGGTGATTACACAATGAAGAAAAAGATTCCTGCATAAGAAACTCACTTAGGACTTCCCAAACATCTCTTGCATCCTCTTTATACATCAAGCCAACAAAAAACTCTATGAAGTATTTTGTATCAATAAACAAAATATCACCATCTCTCAAGGTCTCAGCAAACTCGCTAGACGACCAAAATTCAGGCACATTTTCAAGAAAATTTTCCACCGTTCGTTGGACATTCAAGTCAAGAAAGTAATGAGGCTTCGTTGCAACCACTGCAGGTGACTGCCCATGTTTTCCCTTCCACTCAAGCTCTTCCCAACATAGATCTCGGTTCATGAAAGCAAATTGAGATAAGGCTCTGGCACCTTTCTTATGTTGCAATCCGCCTCCATCATCAAAGTTAGAAAACCATTGCATTATTCGCACTGGATTTCCTGTACAATCAACACCATTGCACAATCAAAGATCCGTTCGAACACATTAAGCAGAGGGGTACTCACATACATTGAACTGAAAAATGCGTTTGATTACATCATATTAGATTCCACGATGGTGTACCAAACATAGCCTTACAGCTTCACATAAAATGCATTCAATTGCCCCTAGTATAGCTACTCTTTGAAGTGGGCAGTTAAACTTGCCCACATAACCTTTACGAGAAACACCCACCAGCTAGGCTAAAGCTATAACCTTAACCCAATCAGTTTTGGAACCAAATATCAAAAGCGCAAGCATATATTAAAAGAACATGAAAATTCAATGTAACACAATACCAGAAACTAATAAGATATGAACTTTATCAATAATTGACAAAAACCAATTTACCTTCAAAAAATTTCTCAAGAATGTAGCTTCTCTTGGCTACGATAGGCCCTACTTTCTGGGGTATCTTCTCGAATATCATTTGCAAGAGTTGGCATGCTAAACCACGATTCGTAGGTTTTGTTCTCAGTAAGTTAACGAATACGTCCCGCTGTTGGCGAGGAGTTACGGAGGTAATGCTTGATATTGTTTTGCAAAGCCATAAACGAGCTTCCGATCGACCGCTGGCCGTCATGAACGACCAGATGACGGATTCTAATTGATTTAAAAGCGATATCCATCGCCTGGCGGAGACGGCAGTATCTCCGCTGCCACCGTCTTTCCAGTTAGGTTCAGATAAGAACAAGCGAATCATCGTTGCTTCGCTTACTTAATCTCTGATATACCACAGAATCGTATTTTACTCACCGGAGCTCTTATTGAAATCTATTTATCGCTTGGGTTCTGTACAACTGCAAAGCCCAAATGGAGGAAGAAGAGAAGGCGTTAACGGGACTGATGCGACAATTCGTTGAATGCATAAAATAGCATAGTGGACGCACAAATGCTCAATTTGCCGTTTTAAGATACCAATTTTAAGCTTTACGGTTCAATTTACTAAAATTTTTTATAACAAAATTAATAAAATAATAAAATATTTTATAAAAGTATATTTAGAAATAAAATTTAGAAATTAAATTGAACTTTTAAATTAAAATGTCCAAAGATTTATAACTGTTTTTTTTTTTGAACGGTAATCGAATTTAAATTATGATAGTTATTATAATTAAAATAAACCAAAACAAGTGAAATGGTTATTAAACATATAATAAAGAAAATGCATATTTTTAAAGTGGTTTTATTTTCAGAGCAGAAATTATTAAAGCCAGAGCAATATTTACTATTTTGATAAAATTACTTTTCTTGTTATATTTTCCATTTGGTTTCCTTTTATTTCTTTCACTAAAAGAACTGCGTTATCGGGTCTTCTTTTGACGGCCAATGATCTTAAATAGCTGAGAAATTGGATGACGACTATATCCACGACCATGGTGGAGGAGCTAAACTGTTTTTTTGAAACGACATGAAAAATTTATTTCAAAAATTTTTCATTTAAAAATTTAAAAATTAAATTTAGCCAATGGGATAAAAGAATGTTATTTGTTTTAAAACTAAATAAATCTATACCTTGTGAAATCATTTCGTAAAATTTAATACAATTTTATATATAGAAACCAAACCTAAAAATTAAATCAATTCCAATAGAAACCCGTAAACCAAAAGGAAACCAAGCAAAAGCCCATGATTTGGGCCAAACTGGACTCAAATCTAACCTAAATCAATCTAGAAAGCCTAGAAAACAAAATTTTACTTTTTCGCTCCAAACATATTTTTCTGTCGTTCCCTTCAACGCCAACGCAGACCCTTCCCTTATCCCTCTTCAATTTTCCATTCACCGGCCGTCGCCTCCTCGCCACCGTGTCTTTGGTTCTCCTCCATTTTGTTTCAGCGTCGCGACTAAGAGAGGGAGTTGCGATTTCGATCGACAGCTCGCTCCTCTCTCCTCGTCTTTCCGGCGAATCCAGCACGATCGATCGACTCCAGCTTCCTTCTCGTTGACGGCGAAGCTCCGATCTCTCTCTCCCTTCGTTTCCGGCTGGCACAACAAATGTAAGGAGCTGAGGTTGCGTTCCGATCGAGACAGTAGCGCAACCAGCCCTGTTCCTTCGTTTACCTGTTCCTTCGTTTTTTCAGCGACGCTTGTCCTTAGCCGGCGGTTATGATCTGACCTTCTCATTTGCAGCTTCTTCAGCCATTGTTGCCTTCACCTTCGATCGAGCTAGCGTCGACAGAAATGGTTTTGCGCAAGCTGTTTCCGGTCACTCTAACAGAAAAATTTCAGTCTTCAGTGCGTTTTTCAGCTGGTAAGTTGGATTTCAACCTTCGTGGATACATTAGTGAATTCTTTGAACAAGGGTTTAGAATGTGTTGCTAAATCAAGTTCAGTAGAGTTTAAATCCCTAAATTAGCTACTGTTTAAGTGTAAATAATTAGAAGCTTTTACTCTTTAAATTGATTTATAAACTGAATTCCTGTATAAAAATGGTTAGGTTACTGCTGTCATTATAAATTTTTTATGAAGAGTCAAGGTTTCGTTAGATTGATAGTAGCCAGTTAGCCATATGCTTGATTTGTATAATTTTAATTGAACTATAAACTGAAATCATACTTATATTAATTAATTATTTAGTTTACAGCAGATTTTGGTGAAAGATTGGATGACAACAACCATTTTTGCTTTTCCCTTGAACCATTGCTTTGATATCAATTATATGATGTTGTAAATTTAAGTTTTGATGGGAAATGAGTTAATTTGTTTATTGCATATAAGTTTAAGTCAAGTAGAAGCCATTTCTCTTGGTGGGCAGCAGCTATGTCAAGCAATGAGTTCCCTCTTAGATAGACTAACATAGAATAGATATGTTTTCAATATATATATATTATGTTGGTGATTATTGGGTATTGCTTGATAGCCTTGTTCTTACTAAATGAATGGTGTGATCTAGACCTTGCCTTAATTAGAAATTATATTTCTATGTTAAGACAAAGGAAATTTATGAAGCCTTAGTTGGTATATGTTTAAGAGTCAATTAAGTTACCTAGTAGATGTATATATTGAATTTTTATTTAGGTTCGCATTAGTTCTTAGTGGCTAGTTTAGAATTTTAACAAATGCATAAATATATGCGGTTTATACCCTAAGCAAGGATGATGAAGTAAAGGCTTGATGTGGAGTTTTATAATAATTAGAGGCTAAGTAACTATCAAATGAGAGTAGTTGAATTTAACTTATCGATACAAGTTTTATTTATAAATTATTCATTTATTTGGTAATTAGTTAGGGAACAATTAATAATATCATTGGAACATGCCTGAAGATTATTACAATTTGTAAATTAATTGGTGAATGTTGACATGATTGTTTAAAAGGAGGATGGGAATTAAGTTGTTTGGCTGCCAGATGAATGGGCTGTGTGAACTTGATGAATAAATGTTAGATATTTGATATTGTCTAAACAAATAGAAAGTTCTTATGGATTGTCCGAGCCCCTCCACTACTCCTATGAATCAAAATCAAAACTAAAGTTTTCCTTTCTCCTCTATTACTGTGATAATAATAGATAGTGCAATTACTATTTGCTTCATGAATAGAGACTACTACATAATCTTACAATTACCTACTTAATTATTACTTATTTAATTTATTACATAAACATTCATTACTTTTCTACTTATTTGTATGTATGTGTATATTTGTACATTTGCATAATCTTTGTTTATTTAATGTGCTGCATTTAAATGCAATGTTTCATTATTTGTGTTGTAATATTGTTATGCCTTATTTGTATGAAATTGGGATGAAGTGGGTCACCACGGGTTTGTGAAGGCGGTCTATGATACCGTCGGCTATGTATGAGGAGATCAGCGCCTCCCGTATGCATTTGATGATATAATTGATATGGAAAAATTTAGGGTGGCCTCTTGTTGGTAATGGAAAAAAAAGAGAGGATGTAAAAAAAAAAAAAAAAAATGAAAGGGTTGGTTAAGTGAGAATTAGACTGGTCGGCCATGTATGGGGATCGACTCCCTAGTGCATCCGTCATGAGAGTATGGGTCATGTATGAGGACGGCTCATTGGGGGATTTCGATGACGCCACAGACCAATCTCCACGTGTTTGATTATGTGAAGATGTACTTGTATGTGGGTGCTGATGTTGTGCCATATGCTTGACTAGTTGTGTGTTCATTTTAGTATTTTAGGAGGCATGTCGGGCACTATGTAGAAATGGGAATCGATCTCCCTAAGTGCGCAAGATCCGTGCATGTAGAGTATTGGGTCATGTTATGAGGCGGGCTCCCAATTGGGGGATTCCGTATGACGCCACAGACCAGATTGCTCCACGTGTTTGATTATGGTGAAGATGTAGGCTTGTACTGTGGGCTGCTGATGTTGTGCCATATGCTTGAACTAGGTTTGTGTGTTCATTGTTAGTATTTAGGAAGGCATTCGCATTATGCCATAGATGTATTATCATTGTAAAACCTCACAATTTCTTTTATTTAATTGTTGTCAAGGAAAGCAGATTAATTGTCTTTGTCTAGTTAGCTCTGTTTCCTTCTGTTTGATTATGTGAAGATGTACTTGTATGTGGGTGCTGATGTTGTGCCATATGCTTGACTAGTTGTGTGTTCATTTTAGTATTTTAGGAGGCATTTCGCATTATGCCATAATTATTATTCATTGTAAAACTCACATTTCTTTTGTTTAATTTTTTCAGGAAGCAGATATTTCTTTGTCTTAGTTAAAGCTCTGTTTCCTTCACCGTAAAGCTAGAAAAGTAATTTCTTGATTCCAGTAATTATTTACATTATGAGCCTTATGTACAAAGAATTATTCATTTCTGTTTGTTTACTGTACTCCGCAGTTGTGGGATTTATGTACCTCTAACCATGTATTAAAAGAGGTATACTAATTTATGAACTTATGAATGTCCTAATTATTCATCTAAGGCATGTATGAACCAGTAGCCCACATTATGAACGAGATGTATTACAAATAGGCCTAAACTGTATTTTATTTGAGATGTTTGAGATTGGGCCAGAAATGTGCATTACTTGATATAAAATAATATAGGCTTACTATTCTTAGAAATCTGTCTGACATATATGGACTTTGTGGTTTAGGCTTACTACGGGTCTCGGAGTTTAAGTTTATCTGGTTCCTAGTGTCGGTTCAGTCGATTTTGAGTCGTGACAGTTTTTAATTAGCTCGTGCCCATGGACAACGACTGAAATTAGGAAAATTTGAGGATAATAAGAGTGAATAACAAGAGATGGAAACAGTCAAAATTACAGAAGCAAAATGGAGAACCAAAAGAAATTAATTGCAGGTATTTTTTGCGGATGTTGAAGAATGATGAGTTTGAGGAGATGGAGTGAGGGAGGAAGAGTTGGGTTCAAAGTCGAAAAGAAAAAAACAAAAATATTAATGGAGTAAGGTACATAAATTTTTAATTGAAGAGAAGGGTGAAAGTAATGTAGAGAAAGCAAAAGGAATACATTAAAGTGCAGAACATGAAGATCAAGAAATTTCATTTAGACTCGAAGTGCATGCATCATCACCTACAAAAATTATATTCTAAAAACATTGCAAAAGAACATTGCGGAGGAGGAAATAATGAAGCTCGCGGCGGAAATTATGTTAGAGCTGGATAAGTTTTGACGACCATAGTTGGATAAATTTTAAATGAATTATGTTGTCCTCAACGAACTAAGGAGACAAATAAAGTAAATAAAAAGGATAATTTTATTAAAATAGTAAAATATTGCTCTGACTTTAACAATTTTTGCTCTGGAAATAAGACCATCTTATTTTTATTATAATAATATATAATTTATATTTTAAACTTTTTCATAAAAATTGAATTGAATAAAATTTTTGAAGTTCATGAAAAAAATATTGAACACTCAAATTCTAAATATTCCAATTAAAATAATTAAAAAGCATCAAATTAATATTAATATAATTTTAAAAATGCTTGCTCTAGTAAAATATATATATTTTTTAAATTAAAGATTATTCATAGTTCAAAATTTCCGTTCATAGTCTACTTTCCAATTATTTTCAGGATTTAATTTATTTATGAAGAATATTTTTATGAAAAAACTTTATAAATAATTGAAGTTTTCATTACTTATTTGTAATTTGTTAAAATTTATAATTTATATAATTACATATAAAATATTATTATTAAAATAATAAATTGATAAGTACACGGTGATTGATATTAATTGCTAACAGTGATTTCTAATTAATAAATTAATATAAATATGTGTTTATAAAGCTATAATAATTTTTATTAATATCTAAAAATTGTTTTCTCTTCATTAACGCTCATCCAATAATGTTTCTCAAGTAAAAAATTTGCTGGAAATTATTGAAGCCATAAATAAAACTTTTATGGAAATCGCTAAGTAAATCAATTATTTTTTATATTTATTTTTTTAATATATAAAACTCTTCTCACTCATTTAATCTCTCTCTGTTTTTTTTTTTTTCCTTCGTCGTTATCGTTAGGTGGATTATTAAACCCTAAAGGCAGCCAAATAGGACTTATTCTCTTCGTCCACATGCCAAAAAGCTTTCTGCTTGCTGCAGTAGCACTCCATCTTCATATTCTAAACCCGAAATCCTAATCCTACTTTCTATTTTTTTCCATTTTCAATCAACTCGCATACGTAAGGTAACCTCTAATTCAAGCTTCAATTCGTGTGCTTTCTCTGTTGGACTGTAACAATTTGTTTCTTTCATTGTTATTTTTTTTCGAGTTATTATGTTTAAGCTTCTTAATCTTAATTAACCCAATTGAATGATTTGCAAAGCATGTAGTTGAATTTTGGTTTTACAGTAGGAACTGCGAAATGGTTGCCTTTAGTTTTGTAGAGATAAAGTTTACATAATGTTTTTTGTGATTAATGATTATATCAGATTCTACAAATGTTGGGTCTCCCTCAGCGGTCTTAATGGCTACTTCTCATGTCCTAAACTTGTTGTTTGCCGTTGGTGTTTGGTGTACTGCTTATATTACCGTCGCAGTTCTCTCTTACTTTCGCATCTTCAGCTCTCTCTGTTCATTTTGATTAGAGCAGCTAGCAGTTTCAAAGGGCTACAATGGGTTACGCGCAACTTGTAATTGGTCCTGCAGGCAGTGGGAAGGTAACATTTTGCTACTATTATCCACCTGTTTGTATCTATTGATTCAAGCTCCTTTCTTGTTTGGGTTTCTTCATTTTGTTTTTAGAAAAAAATACTTCAATCTTTTGCTTGGTTATGAGAGAATGACTATTATTTTTGAAATGTTTGTGTAGTTGTCTACCCTAGTGAAATGTTTTTTTTTTTTTTTTTTTTCGATCCTTCAGCTCTCCGTGGTCAATTTGATTTGAAGCAAGCTAGGTGCAGTTTCAAAGGGCTACAGATGGGTAACGCACAGAGAAAAAGCTTATAAGTAAATATAAAAAAGAGAGATACTAAAGCAGCAGTGGGAAGGTAAAATTTTGCTAAACTGATTATTCCAGCCTGTTTGTATCTATTGAATTCAAAAGCTTCATTATTGGTTTGGGTTTTTCTTCAATGTTTATTTAAGAGAAAAAAATACACTGTATCAATCTTTTTGCTGTGGATAAGAGAGAATGACTATTATTTAGAAATGTAAATAGGTGTGTCATCCCCTTTCTATGTTATAAAAAAAAGTTGCGGAAAGAAAAAAAAATGTTTTTATTTGTTTTTTTTTTTTTTTTTTTTTTTTGGGAAAGTGCTCCACTTATTGGGCCTCTAAGGTTTGCTACCAACACTGTGAAACAATTAAGGCGGTCAATTAACATAGAACCTAGATCCTGCTGCGAAGAATTTGAACTACCTGTGGCTATGGGCTGAGGTTGAATCTATAATGTTAGTTTGAATTTTCTCATTATGTCGAATTGCTAATATTTTATGTATTGAAATTTAGAGCTACAATTTTGTGTCTACCTTGAGCGATATCAAGATAGAAGACGGAGTTACAATTGGGATGATGTTATGGAAGAAGCTGTGGAATCATGCAACAAAAAAGGTCCAAAATCGAAGTGCTTTAAAATTTACTGGCATGGAGTATCCTTTTGGATGACAGATTTTTTTTTTTTTTTTTGGCAGTCCACTTATTGCTCTAGTTTGCACCAACACTGTGAAACAATTGGGCGGTCAATTAACATTGTGAACCTAGATCCTGCTGCAGAAAATTTTGACTATCCTGTGGCTATGGGTGAGTTGAGTTCATATGTTAGTTGATTTCTCAGTTATGTCGATTGCTATATTTATGTATTGATTTTTAGAGCTTCAAATTTTGTCTCCTTGCAGATATCAGGGAACTCATTTCATTGGATGATGTTATGGAGGAACTTGGTCTGGGTCCTAATGGTGCTTTAATTTACTGCATGGAGTATCCTTTTGCCTTCCATCAATATTCGGAGTCTGCTTTTTATTTGTATTGTCTTGCTAATTGAGGATTCCTTCCCTTAGTTCATGGTATTTAGTATTTGTGCATGGGATTAGTTCCACCTAAAAAGCTTATAGGCATTGCTTGGTGCATGGTGTTGGAAGATCACTGTTCTAATTGCTCCTTGTGTACTGCCTATGGGTGGAAATTTTTGCTTCTGCCTTTCTTTTTCTTCTAATTTTTGGAGTCATTTGAACGGCCTTAATCAGAACAATAGAGAGCTTGAAGACAATCTGGATGACTGGTTGACAGAAGAGCTGGATAATTTCTTGGATGATGACTACCTAGTTTTTGATTGCCCAGGTGTGTCCGTACTTTATCTTTTATGTTTTATGGAGTATGCAAACATGTCTCTTGAGAGTGTATGAATCTATTAAGTTGAAATGAATGGGAGGAGCAGGACACAAGGATAGGTCTTCTCTCCTTTCCTGTTTGTCATCAGTAGGTCTCTTCTTCTTTCAAATGGGCATGTTAGTGAGATGACATTAAGTGGATGTGGATCCATCTCAAGATAAGCAAAGCATGCATGCATGTGTGCAAACATCCATATTGAATGTCACATTTTCTTGAATTTGTTTGTTTTTGGTTTATTTTTAATGGATAGCTGAGATGCTACCAAGATTTGATTGGCTTTCATGTTCTGGTGGAACAATTTTTTCACCATGATGCTCACATGGGATGCCTATTTTGCTTCATATTCATTCCTCTTTTATTAATTTTTCTTCATTAGAGTCATTGAAGATTCATAATGATGTTGTTCAAGTATTCTCATTTTAGCTCTGTGAAAATTTTCTTTTTGTTCAAAACTGATGGTAGTTTTTCTATTAGTTTATGTTGAACATGTAGTGGCTAGTCTGACATTCTAATGGAAAAGATGTTCCAGCAAGAATAAGCAACTTTGTTGCTGGAGTACAGGCATGGGGCATCATTCATCACTTCTCCCCCATTCTGCATAGTTGGGACCCAATATAATGCCTTAGCAGTGTACTTGGTTGGTTTCTTTAGCATGGGTGGTTTCTCTTACCAATTAGCATGCAGAACGCAAATTAGAATAGGAACTGTTAACTTTTTGGTCTGAGATTTCAGCTGCCAAATAATATAAACATAAGCAAGTAAAGAAATAAAGGTTTATTTACAGATAAGCCTAACACAATAAAAAAAAAGTTCAGTGGTTACCTTCTATATTTTTCTGTCTCATTTCTTTTGGGTCCAATATAAAATTCATTTAATAGGGATCAGGAAATCTCTCCGTGGCATTTGTTTAATGAAGATGTAGTATTTCATTTACTGTTTTATGGAAAAGACGGAGAATGAATCTAAGAGCACAAACTCAAACTTTTGTTGTTATGTTAATCAACACATGCTCCAAGATTTAATTGTGTGGTATAAATGCATCAGGGCTTGCTATACTTTCTTAATGTGATTTTTTCAACGGGAAAATGTGCAATAGATTATTACTTATGTTTTGCAGGGCAGATTGAACTTTTCTCACATGTGCCAGTTCTTCGGAACTTTGTGGAGCATTTGAAGCGCAAAAACTTCAATGTTTGTGCGGTATACGTACTTGATTCTCAGGTTTGTCATGCTTTTACTTGTTTCTTTTTTCTTGTTTTCCTTTCCTCAAATGCTCTGCCTCCTCATTGAATCAGTTCTATAATTCTTTATTGTATTTGTATCAGTTCATCACGGATGTGACCAAGTTTATAAGTGGGTGTATGGCATCTCTTTCTGCAATGATTCAACTTGAATTGCCTCATGTTAATATCCTCTCCAAAATGGACCTTGTAACCAACAAGAAGGATCTTGAAGAGTGGGCTCCTTGATCCTCTATTGTTCTCTCTTACTTGTTTACGTCTTTTTTTTCAATTTTGAATTTTCTGGTGTATTTTGTTTCCTTACTGCTCAGTTACTTGAATCCGGAGTCTCGAGTCTTGTTGTCAGAACTGAATCAACGCATGGCTCCTCAGTTTGTAAAGCTAAATAAAGCTTTGATCGAACTGGTGAGTAGGCAGCTAAAGTTGCTTCATTTTACACAAATCCAGCTTTCACTGGGTTTGTGTTCTCTGTTTACAATAATTTTTACCTTCATCAGAGGTGGCCAGGTGGGATAAAATCTTTTCAGAAATATTTCTTTTATTTGTATTCATGGCTTACTTCAATCTTTTCTGTTTCAGGTGGATGAGTATAGCATGGTTAGTTTTATTCCGCTTGACCTAAGGAAGGAAAGCAGGTATTCCCTCTCACAATAATATATCTGTTGTGAAGATAGTTTTGTTTTTTTTTTTTTCCCTTGGGTGTCCAATAGTTTTTACTTTATACAGTTCAAAGCAGATATCTTATAGTGCCATATTAGATTTTGATTTTTGTGCAATTTTCAGTGAACTACTATCCCCCTATGGTGGAATGAACTTTTGTCAATTTGTCACATTCAGAGAATCGTCCTTTATTCATACTTGATGTTCCCCGTCGATCAAAGAGCTTTATGCTCAGGGAAAACTAGGCATTGACAACCTAATATTGTTGGAACAAAAAATATATATATATATAAGAAAGGGGTGGGAATTTTATGGTTAATATGGTTTTGGCTGATGTTTTGTAATTGTTGATGTTGTCTTGCTTTAATTTTACAGTATACAATATGTGTTGTCGCAAATTGACAACTGCATTCAGTATGGAGAAGATGCAGATGTGAAAGTTAAGGATTTTGATCCGCCTGATGATGATGATTAGAACAATATAAACTATGTTACTGGAGAAACTGGCTTGCAGGCTGCCATCGACATTCCATGGAGTCAAACAATGAACTTGTCTAAGGAATACGCATTTTCAGTGTAGATAAAACAGGGAAAGATTGGCTTTTTCCAATTTTACAAAAAGCGTTTGAATCTGCTGTTTTCCCCTCAATATGGACAACCTTTTCAATTTTGGAAATATATGGTGTGCTTTTGAACGCTGTTGCACTCACTGCTAAGGTCTTATTATCTAGATGTAACTGGTCTAATTCATGCACTGGATATTTATTGATAGTGGGTGTTTATGGCTGGCTTGGTCTGGTTGTGTTTTGAGTGCAATAGTATTGAAAAAAATTCTAAAATCTGGTTTGATTGAACTAGTAAATCAAGAGTATTGAAAAGGTCTAAACGTGGTTTGATTAAGTTGCTTTATTTTGAATTTAAGATTTTAATCTGCTGTTTGTGTTACATTATTATATAATTATGTGAATTGATTCGATTTAACTTACGTTTAATTCAGTTTCACATGGACACACGAAGGCTAATGCCATTAAAAATAGTTTAACAGATTCTTCAAAATGAGAGATCAGCATTAGATTTTCAAGTTTGATTTCTGCACGGATGAAAGTTTTAACTTCTTGAGGTTCAAATTACAATTTGGATGGCAAATTTCAGGGCAGGTAAAACTCTGGTATTACTTTATTCAATGATTATCTACAATAATTTTTTTTTAAGAAAAATGTCGCGAATTCTATGTTTTAGAGAAGTGGCATCCAGTCGCCGTTATGAGGGAGAGAATTGATGAATTTAATTATTGAGTAAAATTTCATAAAAGGGTATTTCTGTCAAATAAGTGGCAATCATTAAAACAAAGCAAACTTAAAAAGGGGATGGAGGGAGTATTCTACGATCACAAGAACAACTGCTCTCCGTTCCATTAGTTTTTCTATAGTAATTTTATAATTTCCAAGGGGTTTGCCAAATAGAGACTAGAAATCTTTCAATTAATCCAAAAAAATGGTAAAAGAAACTGAAATTCGCTGCAAAACAATAAATAATCCTCAGCCTACTTAACAGAAAATAGCCAAAATCTTGTTCTTGAAATAAATAGACAATTCTGTCAAGTACACTCAGTCTTCATCACTGTCCTCGGCGTCAGCAGCAGAGTTAAGAGCCTTCAACCTTTCAATCAACTTATTCTTTCTTTCCTCATAGGTCAACTTCTTCAGGTTGTATCTGTAGGAAAAATCAAAACCATAAACATATACATCTGTAACTGCAGCATTGAAAAATGTCTTGGATATTCTTCATAAAATGCCAACAAAAATAAATAGGAAAATAATCATGACAGTTTTCATTCGTCTAAAAAGGGGCTCCAGAGTTCAACTTCTCCTTGTGTATATTATGCAACCAACTCTAAAATACCCTTACAAACACACATAAATATGCAAGCTAACAGTCAAAACTAGGAGAGGGGAGTGAGGGGACAAGATCCGAAATAAGACGCACCTCTTGTGCTCCTTTGGAGGCTGCTTCTCTGTCTTCTTCGTTATGGGATCTGCACGTATGGCAGAATGTACCTTCTTGTAAAGCTCTTCCATGTTATCAGCATCAATACCTCTCTTTACATACTCACTGAAGTGAGACTGGTACTTCTCTGGTTCATCTTCCATCAAAATCTGCATGAGAACCACAAAATTAAACCCATATGGATTACCATGTTTATAGAAACATATGATTGCAATAATATAAATCTCACCCTCATGTATGCAGCAACATGGCCGCCATAGATGTACTTTCGGTGGAGTTCAGCATCAAGCTGCTTGCTATCCTTGCTGAATCCTGCAAACCTCTTGTCACTGTGGGGAATATCAAGTCCACCGTCCAAAGCTCCCTAATCAAAGAATAGAGCAATGCCCTAACACATATTATAATTGCTTTATTTCCATCCCATGAGACAACATGCAGGAGTAATACTTCCAATCAGCAAGATGAATTCCTTCAGCCACTAACAACGTATATAGATGCACATCATCACATTAATTCATGGTTATATCAAGTGGTAGATTTTAACAACCATAGCCCATATTAGACGCAAATTAATGCAAGCTAAACCTAGTTTTTAGGATTATCCAATTATTTATAAAGAAGGCAAGGTCATTCTTGTAATACAACCAATAGAAGAGCAATTCCAATCATACAATTCCCATAACTGTAAATTGACTTGAAATTTAACATTACATACCCACCAATGTTATAAAATAACTAGCAGGAAATGGTTATTCCAGACTAAATTGAAACTATAGAAAGTTAGCATGTATGGATTATATACTCTATAGTAAAAAGAGTGAGTCAAAAAATGTTAGAGAATTTTTCAATGCAAAAAAAATTCAAGTACTAGGAAATAATGCAGAATAAAAGCAAGGAATGAGAAGAGCTCAGATAAATTTAAATTCATATGTTTTAAGAAGTATATTGGGAGACCTTGAGAGCACCAAAAACACGGTTTCCAGTTGTTGTCCTCACAAGTCCAACATCAAGAAGAGCACGGAAAGGTCTCCTTTCTCCAGCTGGTTCAACAGAAAAATCTTCTCCAGTAGCCTGAACATAGAAAGAATTACACATTTTTAAATATCCACACAAGAATAGTACCTTAATTCTATCAAGGCAAAACTACAGATAATCCACATACCTCAACATTTCCTTCATACTCCCCATCCATCTGAAGCGTTTTCAGTACGCGTCGGGCCAAAAGAAGCCCAGTGCAGTAAGCTGATTTACAGTAAAATAGCAATTAGAACATTAGATTTGACGAGCAAAGACATTATAAATCCAGCAAAATGTGAGTATTATACCTGCAGCATAATTGGTGAGTCCCACTTCAAGGCCATATTTAGGGAGCTCATGGGAGTAGGCAGCTGCAAGAACTATATCACCAGCAATGGTCGAATGTATAATTTGTGCAGTTACATCTTTGTTGGTCTAAGAATAATATTAAGGAGAAAATAGAGGCAACAAGGAAGCAAAAACAATAAAAGCAACCATCTTGTCACGATTCAAGATCTTCAAGATCAAGGACACCTTGAATCAAATATAGTTCACGGAAGAATTGGACACTAACTCAATCGAATTTTTAATAATCGACATTGAATTAAATACCTAGAACTTGACAAAAACAAAATCACAAAGCAAATTAAAAGACCACAACTAACAAAAGCTGCAAAAAAGCTATAAGAAAAAATCATACAAAACAACTAATCAAGTCCGAAATATCTAAGAAGTCCTACATTAAACCATTTTTTACAATTAAATTTGTAAAATAGCACATAGACAAAGGTTATCCATTTTATGTAAAACACAATTGACCCACAATCCCACATTATAACCACCAAACCGCATATGAGAAGAGGATAAAAAACATTAACAAGATAACCAGACAAACAAAATAAGGATACAAATCGCACAACAAATCGATATTTTGGAGTGTTATACTTGTTCTTGTCCTGGTTGATTAGACGAATCCTTGCTCTGTAATCAGTCTTACCCTCTAAAAAAAAAAAAAAAAAAAAAAAAAAAAGACAATAAACAAAAAGCTGCGAAAAGCTATAGAGAAAAAATCATACAAAACAACTAAAATCACAAAGTAGAAATAATCTAAGACGTCCTACAATTAAACCATTTTTAACAATGAAGAGTTTGTAAAATAAGCACACGCACACAAAGAGTTATCCATTTTAATGTAAAACACAATACCCACAATCCCAAGCATTATATACGCACCAACGAGCATTATAAGAGGAAAACATTAAACCCGATAAAAACCAGAAAACCAACCAAATAAGGAATACAAATCGCACAACAAATCGACGAATATTTTGGAAGTGTTATACTTGATATCTTGTCCTGGTGATTAGCACGAATCCTTGCAATCTGTAAATCAGTACTTACACCACTGCTCATAAAAAAAAAAAAAAAATAAAGAAAAAAAGCTTATTCATATAAGAAAAAAAAAAAAAAAAAAAAAAAAAAAAAGCTTTCAATAAGAAACTAATATATGAAAAAAAAAAGGGAACCCCATTACGGATTTCGCCACAAAATTACCTCTCCTTCTCTTGTATTTAACTTGAAAACGCTTGAAGTAAGCTTTCGACTTCTGAGCTTTTACAAACGCCTACAATGTGATTACAAATTAGGTAGATTTAGCATGAAAATGAAAAGAAAAATTGAGATTAAATGAGCAAAAAGAGTTTATGGCTAACCATCGATGATGCTCACAGTGATGGCAGAGAGCAGACAATAAGAGGAAAATGGTATTGCCTGCCAGAATAAATACTATAAGTCTAAAACCCTAATTCGCCTGATACACGCAAGTCGACGGCCAGGATTTATTTTTATCGAGAGAGACGCAGTATATGATTTTAAGAATGCGCCTCTTTGCTAACGGAGACACGTGTTGGCGGTCATTTGTTACTCTTATTAGGGCCAAATTTCAATTTGGATTCCTTCCTCAGTTAGTTCTATATTGCCCCTAAAGGGCTTTATACCGAATTGCACCGCCGCTGATTGGCTGTCAATTGTTGTAACTGCTTTATATAATGTGAATTCATTATATATAATATTTAATGAAAAAAAAAAAAGCCAAATTTCAATTGAATCCAAAAGATTATTTTTTTATTTTTTGCCCCAGTTTCATCCATGACTTTTATTTTTGCTCGATTTTATCTTATTTCTATTTTAAAATATATAGAAATTTCATTTTCTAATGATTTTATCATGTAAAATTGTTGAGAATCTGGACCCTAGGAGGGTCATCAGGCTTATAATGAGTTGAGCTTACATTTAACACAAAATGGCATAAGCCATTGTAGTTAGTTCACCCTTCTTATTATATGCTCTTTTAGTTAGTTGTATTTATCCGATATGGGATTACCCACATACTCCAACAAAAATTAATATATATATATATATACTGAAAATAAATATATTAAAATTTCAATAATGAAATTTAAATGAATACAAATAGTCTAGGCATGACATTATCCCTTTTTTAAAGAGCTAATATAAAAGAAAATTTTATAAATAAAATAGTGTAATGAAAAGTTAGATTGTGAACTTAACAAAACAGATAAATTTTCAAAATGGTTAGTTAGACAAAATTTTTAAATATTTCGTATATGACGTAATTATCAATAAATTAATTACGTATACTGATGAATATAAAAAAAATTTAAATTACTAAATCTAATAAAAGTTGTTGTATCAAATTTCAGAAGATAAAGATTATCAATTTATAAAATAAATGCTTTACAAAAAGTGTATACTTATCCAAAAAATAAAATAAGAAAACAAACCCAATACATGATAATTATTCATGCTTCTTACATGTCAAAACACCAATTTACTAATTTAATGGTTTAAGGTAAGATAATTGCTAGTAAAAACTTCAAAGTTTTCTATTAAGGTAAATTTGCATTCTTTTTTTTTTTTTTAAAAAAAGAAATTATTTTGCTTTTGATATATTAATACTGCTTTTGTAAGTCTTGAACATCTAACTTCTTGTATTATAAGGAAAATATTGGGAAAATTCATTTCTCTCCAATATATTTATTGTACTTTTATTTCTTTGATAAGTTACTATTGTGTCAAAGCACTATCATCAAATAATTTAAAAATAATTAAAAAATTGTTGTATGTTTACAAAGATAAATTTTGATAAAATACAAATTTGTCACACTCAGTCTTATTTATATGAATAAATTATTAATGTTTGATTAAAAAAATCATTGTTTTTCATGAATAAACAAATAAATCTCAACTAATTATTGGAGCTTCCTAGAAAAAATTTGTCTTGATGATAGATATAAACAAGGGAATTTAAAGAAATTTCACCAAGATGCATACTCAGTCTTGTTTTTATGAATAGATTTTTAGGTAATTGTTTTAAAAAATTATTGTTTTTCATAAAAAACAAATGATCAACTTCATTTAATGAACTTCCTATTTCTTTCCTAGAAAAAAAAATATAGATACAAACAAGATTTGATATAAACGAGTTCAAATACTTAATTTATAATTGGATTGGGATATTCCTGACCGGTTGCCATCATAACTATATAAATTAATCGTATAGTAAAACCAAGTCAGGCAGATCATACAATAACCACAACGATGAGTTTAGAAGATCCGGAGGAGCATGCACTGGATAATCCATTGGAAAAACGTTTCGTTTCGGTAGAGAAACGCTTTGAATCGGTGAAAAATGGAATTATCGTTTTAGCTTCGATGTGTGCAGCTTTTAGCTTTGCAGCTGTAGTGAGTCCTCCGGGTGGTCTCTGGCAAGATTGGCCTCCTAGTAACATTACGAATATTGCTCAAACATCAAAAATAGAAAACTTCATAAACTCCTTCTTTTTAAACCCAACTCCAAAAAAGATTCATTATTTTAAAACTCCACATTTAAATTTCTCTTCTCCAGATCTTTACAATCCTGGTAAGGCTATGAATATTGCCTTAGCTTCACATGATTTTATTCAGTTTCTCTACTCTGATGCTCTTTGCTTCACTTCTTCATTACTGACTATTGTTCTAATCATTGTAATCCTTCCCTTCGTCATTTCAGAAGTTTGCTTATTTATTTCATGACATTGGTTATTATTGGGTCTTCTATATATCTCTACTATTGTGTTGTGGCTCTTATTGCTAATGAACAATTTGCTGGATGGGTCTTCAAGACTATTGTCAAACAATTTTTTACTTTCGTCTTATCGGTACTAATTTTTATGATTATTCCATGCGTGTTACTATCTTGTTGTTGCTTGATGTGTTCTTCCGGCGACACATAAGTCTAGTGATTTAAGGGTGTTGCTTGTAAGAATTGAGGAATAAGAGCTTTTATGATATGATGGTTGAAAAAATCATTGTGTTTTCAGTTGTAATTAATGATTTGGTAATTTCACATTGTAATCCTTCCCTTCGTCATTTCAGAAGTTTGCTTATTTATTTCATGACATTGGTTATTATTGGGTCTTCTATATATCTCTACTATTGTGTTGTGGCTCTTATTGCTAATGAACAATTTGCTGGATGGGTCTTCAAGACTATTGTCAAACAATTTTTTACTTTCGTCTTATCGGTACTAATTTTTATGATTATTCCATGCGTGTTACTATCTTGTTGTTGCTTGATGTGTTCTTCCGGCGACACATAAGTCTAGTGATTTAAGGGTGTTGCTTGTAAGAATTGAGGAATAAGAGCTTTTATGATATGATGGTTGAAAAAATCATTGTGTTTTCAGTTGTAATTAATGATTTGGTAATTTCACATCAATGGAAGAAAACATATATAATTTCATCGAATCGACGTGCATGCCGGCCTCTATTCATTTCATTTTCTCCGTTGAACATTTCTTACTATCATTTCTTCAAAACGAGGTACTGAACTTAAAAAAATAATTATCTTTAATTTCCATTAAATTTCCATTGATGTGAGCTTCTAGCTCATGATTGATATATAAATCCTACACTGGAGAATTTGCAAAAGCAAAAAATAACATGGATCAAAGACTCTACATAGCTGTATGCAATGGAGATGTAGGAGCTGTATTAGAATTACTAAAACAAAATCCTCTTCTTCTCCATAACGATATCGATACACCAGACAATCCATTACACATAGTTAGGCATGCAGATTTTGCTAAAGTGGTTACGGATCGAAACACTAAATTAGCAGAAGAAAGAAATCACCAAGGATTTAGTCCAGTTCATTTGGCTTCAGCAAAAGGGTACTCACAGATTGTGACAGATTTGCTTAATATTGATAGCAAACTCTGTGTTCTTAAAAATGGTAACGGAAGGACTCCTCTCCACTGTGCTGAAATAAGAGGAAGGCAAGTTGCTATAGAACAATTACTGTCATGTTGCCCGCAGGCAGCTAGGGAGCTCACTCATAAAGAGGAAACTGTGCTTCACCTTGCTGTCAAAAATAATCAGTCTGACGCTGTCAAATCTTTGCTTCGCTTCTTACACATAACAATCTTATTGATGATCTTGTCAATTGTGTCGATCAAGATGGAAACACAATATTGCACCTAGCTACGGCAAGGAAACAAGTGCAGGTGAGAACATAATCACCTTATTATTTAAGGAGAAAAATATGATAACTGATTATAATGTTCTAAAAAACCAACTTTAAATTTAAATGAATACAAATAGTCTAGGCATGACATGATCCCTTTTTTAAAGAGCTAATATAAAAGAAAATTTCATAAATAAAATAGTATAATGAAAAGTTAGATTGTGAACTTAACAAGACAGATAAATTTTCAATAAACTAGTTACTTATAATAATGAATATAAAAAAAAATTAAATTACTAAATCTAACGAAAAAAAAGGTTATTGTACCGAATTTCAAAAAATAAAGATTATCGATTTATAAAATATATGCTATACAAAAAAGTGTACATTTATCTAAAAAATTAAAAATAAGAAAATTAACCAAACACCGAAATAAACAAATCAAATACATGATAATTATTCGTGCTTCTTTCATGGGTCTCATAAGGAAAATATTGGGAAAATTCATGGGTCTCAATTTACATCCTTCTCTCCAATATATTTATCGTACTTTATTTCTTTGATAAGTTACAATTGAGTCATAGCACTTGCATCAAATAATTTAAAAATAATTAAAAAATTGTTGTACGTTTAGAAAGATAAATTTTGATAAAATACAAATTTGTCACACTCAGTCTTATTTATATGAATAAATTATTAATGTTTGATTAAAAAATTAAATCATTGTTTTTCATGAATAAACAAATAAATCTCAACTAATTATTGAAGCTTCCTAGAAAAAATTTGTCTTGATGATAGATATAAACACGGGAATTTAAAGATTCATTTCAATTTTTTCTGATACACATTTTCTTTAAAACAATAATACTACTGATCCATATCAACTTTTAGCTAGAAAACAAAAATCATCTTTCATTTCTATGAAATTTCCATTGATGTGAGCTTTTCTAGCTCATGGTAGATATATAAATACTAAAGAATTTGGATTGTCAAGAACAACATGGATCAAAGACTCTACACAGCTTCATGCAATGGAGATATAGGAGCTTTATGTGAATTGCTAGAACAAGATCCTCTTATTCTCCACGACGACATACTTACACCATCAGACACTGCACTGCACATAGCAACAAAACTGGGGCATGCAGATTTTGCTAAAATGGTTATGAATCGAAACCCAGAATTGGCAACAGAATTAAATCACAAAGGATTTAGCCCAATTCATTTGGCTGCAACAAAAGGGTACTCACAAATCGTAGCAGATTTGCTTAATATTAATAGCAAACTCTGCTTTCTCAAAGATTGGGACGGAAGGACTCCTCTCCATTGTGCTGCGATAAAAGGAAGGCAAGTTGTTATGGAACAATTACTATCATGTTGCCGTAAGGCAGCTAAGGAGCTCACTCATAAAGAGGAAACTGTGCTTCACCTTGCTGTCAAAAGTAATCAGTGTGAGGTTGTCAAATCTTTGCTTTCGCTTCTTACACATAACAATCTTGTTGATGATCTTGTGAATTGTGTGGATCAAGATGGAAACACGATATTGCACCTGGCTACCGAAAGGAAACAAGTGCAGGTAAAAACATAATTTAACTGGTTAAAAGAAACCAACTTTAGTTTATTTGATTATCATTTGTCTTTTAATTGGTTTTATTTGTTTTCTGTTTGAAGCACAGATTATAAAAATTTTGTTAACAGAGACAAAGGTGAATGTCACTGCTGAAAATGCAAATGGGGAAACGGCACTTAAAATTACAAAATTAAGCACGTCAGAAGGCGATGACAGGATCATTAAGAAAATGCTTTATGAAGTCCAAGAAAGAAAGTCTCCTGAAGAGCAAATTGTAGTGGTCGATTCCCTTCAAAGTCGAGCAGAGCTTGCAAAAAACACAACAATGAAAGTAGAGAACCTAGAAGAGGACGCGATAACCACAACAGTGAACTCAGAAAACCCATCAGAAATACTAACAAGATTAGAGAGACGTTTTGAGTCAGTGAAAAATGGAATTATCATTTTAGCTTCAATGTGTGCAGCTTTTAGCTTTGCAGCTGTAGTGAGTCCTCCTGGTGGTTTTTGGCAAGATTGGCCTTCAATTAATATTACGAATATTACTCAAATAGCAAAAACAGAAAATTTAACCAACTCAATGTTTTTCAACCCACTTCATACATGGCCAAAAAAGATTCAATTTTTAAAACCCCATTTAGATTTATCTTCTCCAAATCTTTACAATCCTGGTAAGGCTATGAACATTGCTTTAGCTTCATATGATTTTGTTCGGTTTCTATACTCTGATGCTCTTTGCTTCACTTCTTCATTAGTGACTATTGTTCTGATCATTATAACTCCCGCTCTTGGTCATTTCAGAAGTACGCTTATTTCTTTCATGACATTGATTATTGTTGGGTCTTCTATGTATCTTTACTATTGTGTTCTGGCTCTTATCGCTAATGAACAATTTGCTGGATGGGCCTTCAAGGTGTTTGGCACACAGTTTTTCTGTTTATTGTTTTGGACAATTTGTTCTTTGATTACATTCTATTTGTATAAGGGAGTTCTTAATTTACTGCGCATCATCGTGAAACGTTGTTTAAGATTGATGCTTTTATTCTAGTTATTAATAAAAAGAAGCTGTTGGGGACATACTTGTAACAATTAAGGAATAAGAGCCTTTGAGATATGTGGATTTGCCTTCACATTTCACATTTGCATGAATAGTAGGAGAATTAATTCAGTAATAGATTTCAGCCATGTTCTTTTTTTTTTTTTAACTGAACACCTTCTGTCAAATAACAGAAAAAGTTATAAAAGTTTCAAAACTTCGTCCGAATGTAAAAACTATTTAACATGATATGAATAGTAACTCTCATCTTTCAATAAAATTCACTAAATTAATGATAATTTTTTTACGGCGAAATGATTTAAATGAAATATAATTCTTATTTTTTAATTCACTGATTTTTTTTTCATTTTTTATTTTAATGTATCCAAACACTTCAGCAATTTTGTATTATAAACCAATGTTTGATCTTAATGGTCTTTTCATGTTGAAACGATTACATCTAACGCTTGAACTTTCAATCTAATTCCATAAAATGTAAAATAAAAGATGGGCAAATTCATGGGTTTCTATTGTTAAGAAACCAACATCGACTAAATAGTAAATTTAAAAAGGCATATAAAGGTGGCAAATTAACTAATTAATTAATTAGCACTAATGTTTTAGCATTGGTTGGCCCAAGTTTAAGTAAGTTCATATTATATGTTTTCACCTCATAGATTCTAGCATTTCACTTGGTTCACCTCTACCCTTTCAACTTCTAATATCTATATCCTCTCTCCAATATATTTAACTCATATATACTTTTTTATATAAAAAAAAACCCATCATCCCTTCAACTTCTAATATCTATATCCTCTCTCCAATGTATTTAACTTATATATACTTTTTTATATAAAAAGACCCATCATCCCTTCAACTTCTAATATCTATATCCTCTCTCCAATATATTTAACTTATATATACTTTTTTATATAAAAAAACCCAGCAAAGTGCGATTAATTGGTGTTTTTACCCTTACGCTCTAATGCATTTATTTTATATTTTTTAATAATTATTATTGAGTCAAAAGACTTAACAATTTAAAAAGGATAAAAATAATTTTCATTTGAACAAATAAAATTTGTATGATGAAGATAAATTTCACTAAGATGCATACTCAGTCTTGTTTTTATGAATAGATTTATAGGTGCTTGTTTAAAGAATTATTGTTTTTTCATAAAAAACAAATGATCAACTTCATCTAATGAACTTCCTATTTCTTTCGTATTTGATTTAGAAATTCGCAAGAAAGTGACATGGTCTGCCTTCGATAAATCATCTCGACTTAAATACTGATTATCATTAATAATTTGGATTCATAATCATAATGAGTTAAGACTTATCTTTTTCGTTGTATATCATTCATCACTCTTTTTATATTTTTAATTTATAATCTCAGACTTGTCATAATGAGTTAGACTTGTAAAATTCCAATTTATAATCTCACATATTCTGTTATTGAAAGTAAAATTCTAAACGGGTTCAAATACTTAATTTATAATCGGGTTCGAATAGTGCATAATCCATCGGAAAAACGTTTCCTTTCGGTGGAGAAATGCTTTGAATCGGTGAAAAATGGAATTATCGTTTTAGCTTCGACGTGTGCAGCTTTTAGCTTTGCAGCCGTAGTTAGTCCTCCCGGTCGTCTCTGGCAAGATTGGCCTTCTAGTAACATTACGAATATTGCTCAAACATCAAAAATAGAAAACTTCATAAACTCCTTTTTAAACCCTGCCCCAAAAAAGATTCATTATTTTGAAACTCCACATTTAAATTTCTCTTCTCCAGATCTTTACAATCCTGGTAAGGCTATGAATATTGCCTTAGCTTCACATGATTTTATTCAGTTTCTCTACTCTGATGCTCTTTGCTTCACTTCTTCATTACTGACTATTGTTCTAATCATTGTAATCCTTCCCTTCGTCATTTCAGAAGTTTGCTTATTTATTTCATGACATTGGTTATTATTGGGTCTTCTATATATCTCTACTATTGTGTTGTGGCTCTTATTGCTAATGAACAATTTGCTGGATGGGTCTTCAAGACTATTGTCAAACAATTTTTTACTTTCGTCTTATCGGTACTAATTTTTATGAAATGATTTGGTAATTTCACATCAATGGAAGAAAACATATATAATTTCATCGAATCGACGTGCATGCCGGCCTCTATTCATTTCATTTTCTCCGTTGAACATTTCTTACTATCATTCAAGGGTATCTTGTTGTGACAGGATGTTACTATCTTGTTCTAATCATTTTAACTCAATTCATGTTACTATCTTGTTGTGACAGGATGTGTATTTCATGCGACACTTAAGTCTAGTGATTTAAGGGTCTTGCTTGTAAGAATTGAGGAATAACAGCTTTTTAGATATCATGGTTTAAAAAATCATTGTATTTTCAGTTGTTGTAATTAATGATTTGGTAATTTCACATCAATGGAAGAAAACATATATAATTTCATCGAATCGACGTGCATGCCGGCCTCTATTCATTTCATTTTCTCCGTTGAACATTTCTTACTATCATTCAAGGGTATCTTGTTGTGACAGGATGTTACTATCTTGTTCTAATCATTTTAACTCAATTCATGTTACTATCTTGTTGTGACAGGATGTGTATTTCATGCGACACTTAAGTCTAGTGATTTAAGGGTCTTGCTTGTAAGAATTGAGGAATAACAGCTTTTTAGATATCATGGTTTAAAAAATCATTGTATTTTCAGTTGTTGTAATTAATGATTTGGTAATTTCACATCAATGGAAGTAAACATTTATCATTTCATCGAAACGACGTGCATGCCGGCCTCAATTCAATTGGTATTTGTTTATGGATGTACACAAGAATTAAAACTCACGAGAAAGTGACGTGCATGCCGGCCTCAATTGATTTCATTTTCTCCGTTGAACATTTCTTATTATCATTTCTTCAAAACCAGTTACTGAACTTAAAAAAATAATTATCTGTAATTTCCACGAAATTTCCATTGATGTGAGCTTCTAGCTCATGATTGATATATAAATCCTATACTAGAGAATTTGCAAAAGCAAAAAATAACATGGATCAAAGACTCTACAGAGCTGCATGCGAAGGAGATTTAGAAGCTGTATTAGAATTACTAGAACAAGATCCTCTTCTTCTCCATAATGATATCGATACACCAGACAATCCATTACACATAGCAACGAAACTCGGGCGTGCAGAATTTGCTAAAGTGGTTATGAATCGAAACAACAAATTAGCAGAAGAAAGAAATCACCAAGAATTTAGTCCAATTCATTTGGCTTCACCAAAAGGGGACTCACAGATTGTGACAGATTTGCTTAATATTGATAGCAAACTGACAGTGATTTTTGCAAGCGTACGAAATCGCAACAAGTAATATAGAGTGAAAGAGTGTCGTATCCACAGGGATTGTATATCAAGTGCCAAAATTATGTTAACCTATTATCATTTAAACGACAATAAGAAAGATTTATTATAAGAAAAGTAAATTCTAAAGTAAAATAAAAAGAAATCAAGCAACAATATTTAGATGAAAAGAAATCAATGATTTAAAACTACTAGGGATTTTAATTTCACTTAATTCTTATCCAATTTATTTTTTTAGTTTGTTAATCAATTTTAATTGTTTAAATAGGGAAAACAACCCTAAAATCACTAACAAGTTCTCCCGATGCATTATTAGCTATTCTAATCCGGTCTAATTACCTATCTTCTAATAGCGCAAATCTTTCTAATAGCGCAATCAAACATGAATTAAATCGATTAAGTTTTATGGTTGTTTTTGTGAATTCATAACCTAAGTTTCATTAACTTATGAAAAAAACCCCTTCATGAGTCCAAAACCATATAGGCCTTCCGCATTAAAGTTATTATTCTCATGATTTATTTACTTTTTTCATATCAAAAACCTTATTCCGATGTGATTTAATTTGAAGATAAATTACGATAGTGATTAATGAAATAAATTAATCCAGGGGAGAAACTCTGTCTGGAAGCATTAAGTTTAATAATAAATTATATCATGAACAAGGAAAAGTAAATCGAATATTATAAATTGGAATCGAATTAAGCTATATCAAATCTCTAGTATGAGAGTTTAGTTCGACATAGTAATTAAATAAAACTCAATAATGCTTGGATAAAATTTCATAATCAATAATGAATAATGAAAAGAAAAACAACATTAAGAGTTTAGAAATAAAAACTAGACAACAACTATGTGGATGTCTTCCTTGAATCTTGACACAAATCTTGGATGCTTGAAATCTTTGAGAAAGAGAGAACTATCTAGAAAAATACTAGAACTCGAGATATATCTATACAATGAATGGTTCCTCTCTTTATATAAACTTCTTAGAGAGAATCTGACTCCGTTTAGGAAACAGAATCCTTATTAAGTATGAAATCTTTTTTAGAGATCATAAACTGATTAGACTTAAGATTTCTTCTTAGTTAGGACTCTTCTCTCTTCCCAAATAGATTTAGATCTTATTTTGCACGTTTAGGAACATGAGCTGGGTCCATGTGAGTTAAAAAGACTGGCTTGCGTTTTTATTCAAGACAGCTTCGCCTTAATAGCACGGGAGTGCCATCTAGCACGGGTTGGGCGTGCTAGCTTCGGGCGTGCTTAGAAGTCTGGATTATCTGGATGTTTCAGCACGGGGCCGTGCTATGCAACACGTCTTAGATGAGTTCTGTGGCAACGAAGACTGGCTTGCGTTTTTATTCAAGACAGCTTCGCCTTAATAGCACGGGAGTGCCATCTAGCACGGGTTGGGCGTGCTAGAGTCTGGATCTCTGAATGCTTCAGCACGGGCCGTGCTATGCAACACGCTCAGAGGAGTTTCTGTGGCACGGGAGTGCGCCATAGCACGGGCAGGGCGTGCTAGGCTCTGACTTTCTAAGATAGATTGCATCACTGGCGTGCTAGGTAAACACGCCCTGAGGTTCTTTTAGGCACGGGCATATCAGATAGCATGGGTTGGTCGTGCTAGCGTCTGACTCTCCACTTGATTTCTCTTGAGTTTAGCACGGGCGTGTTAAGGTGCACGGACTGGGCGTGCTCGAGCCTGAGTGTTTTGCTTTTTAATGCTCTTTTCTGTGCTAAAATCCTGCAAATTTCTTTAAGATCAAGTGGATTATGATTCAAGGAAGCTTTGAACAAAATTATAATAAAAATGAAGTAAAACTTAATTAAAGTGATAAAATTTAATAAAAATTCTAAATAAAACAATACTAAAAATACCGTAAAAATGATACCTATCACAAACTCTGTGTTCTTAAAAGACGGCAACGGAAGGACTCCTCTCCACTGTGCTGCAATAAGAGGATGGCAAGTTGCTATAGAACAATTACTATCATTTGCCCTCAGGCAGCTAGGGAGGTCACTCATAAAGAGGAAACTGTGCTTCACCTTGCTGTCAAAAATAACCAGTCTGAAGCTGTCAAATCTTTGCTTTCGCTTCTTAAACGTAACAATCTTATTGATGATCTTGTTAATTGTGTCGATCAAGATGGAAACACAATATTGCACCTAGCTACTGCAAGGAAACAAGTGCAGGTGAGAACATAATCACCTTATTATTTAGGGGAAAAAATATGATAACTAATTATAATGTTCTAAAAAACCAACTTTAACTTATTTGATTACCATTTATGTGTTTTAATTGGGTTGAATTTGTTTTCTGTTTCAAGCACAGACTATAAAACTTTTGTTAGAAGAGACAAAGGTTAATGGCAATTCCGTGAACGCAAATGGGCATACTGCGTTTAGCATTGCAAAATTGAACACATCAGAAGCTGATGATATGATCATTCAGAAAATGCTTAATGAAGCCCAACAACGAGAGCCTCCTGGAGAGCAAATTGTAGAGGTTGAATCCCCTCAAAATGAAGCAGAGCATGCAATAACCACAATAGAGGACCCAAAAAAGGATGACCCACCAGAAGCACGAAAAAGCAGATTAGAAAAGAGTTTCGACAACGTGAAAAACGGTATTATCATTTTAGCTTCAATGTGTGCAGCTTTTAGCTTTGCAGCTGCAGTGAGTCCTCCTCGTGGTCTTTGACAAGATTGGCCTTCTACTAATAATTTCACAAACACTAATCAAACAACCGAAATAGAAAATTTCATGAACTCAATACTTTTAGACCCAATTAAACACTTTCCAGAAAAAAGTCTAATTTTAAAACTTCCACATTTAAATTTCTCTTCTTCAAATATTTACAATCCTGGTAAGGCTGTGAACATCGCCGTAGCTTCATATGATTTTGTTCTATTTCTCTGTTTTGATGCTCTTTGCTTTTTTTCTTCATTAGTGACTATTGTCCTAATCATCTTAACTCCTTCCTTTAGTCTGATCAGACCTTGGTTTATTTATTTGACGACGCTCATTATCATTGGGTCTTCTATGTTTCTTTACTATTATGTTTTGGTTCTTATTGCTAATGAACAATTTGCTGTGTGGCCCCTCATGATGTTTGCCAGACAGTTTTGTGGCCTCTTGTTTTCTCTAAGTTGTTTGGCAACAATTTTTTTGTTTTCAATGAACGCTTGGAATTATTTGTTCGGTAATGAAAGATAACGTAACATAATCAAAAGCATTTTACGGTGTTACAGTCATGAGATACTTTTGATTATATTAAATTACATTTCATTACAAACATAATATAAGAGTATTGATTATTGTTCGAGAGTATTGTTGAGATCCGTCATGAATTGTTGTCATCAATTTGAAGCTTTGGTCAACTGGAAGATTACTTGTAAGCAATTGAGGAATAAGAGCTTTGGAGATATGATGGATTGTTTTAAAAATCATTGTATTTTATTACTGTGATTGTATTAAAAAAAAAAAGAAAAAAGTGCAAAAATTTATGAAAAGAAAAATAAAAATCTTTAATGAATAGAGTGTCATGGTAGCTTCATAATAATATTTTTTATTTCATAATTATATATTTTATTATTTCATATATTATATTTATATTATATATTATATATATAATAGTACTATATATAATATATATTATAGATATTGGAACAATGGAAATTTCTATCTCAACTGTATCCAGGCTTGTTGTGCAAGAGCACAATTTTTAGCATATAAGAGGACCCCTTATTACTTTAATCCGTAAAAAGAGACAACCATCATGCAAGTGGAAAAAATATATTCTCTTCATAACTTATAATCAACTCCAGGATTTCTTAACTTAAGCCTATAAACCATTTTATGGTCCAATTTCAGTTTTTTATATAGATTGGATACAATGGAAATTTTATCTCAACTGTATCAGGAATTAGTTGTGCAAGAAGCACAATTTTTAGCATATAAGAGACCTTATTACTTTAATCGTAAAAAGAGGACCAACAATCATGCAAGGAAAAATCATATTCTCTTCATAACTTATAAATCAATCCAGGATTCCTAAACTTAACCTATAACCATTACTGGTCCAATTTCAGTTTTATTCATGTTAGTATAATAGCATCCAAAGATTTTTTTAGAGTTATTAGAAAAAAATGAACCTTAAAAGGCAAATTTGTTCCTTGTGGTTCCAAAAATCAATTGAATACAAAAGATTCCTAATTTCATCCGTAACTTTTATTTTTGCTGAATTTTATCTTTGTTTTTTCTTTAAAAGAATAATATCACGTCAATATCAAAGAAATGATAATTATTCTTGCTTCTTTCGTGCAGAATGCCAAATTTCTAATTTACTGGTTTCAAATAAGACAATTCAAAGTTTAGATGAAGTTGATCTACATTCCTTTTTTTTTTTATTTCCTAAAAGCTTTTTGGGATTTTCAAATCTACTTTTTGTCCTATAAACAGATGTTTCGATAACATTTAATGCTTCAACTTTCAATCTAACTTCCATAGGTTTCTATATCATCCTCTCCAATATATTTATTTTAATTACAGTCTGAGGCTGTCAAATCTTTACTTCTTAATCATATCGATCTTGTTGATGATCTTGTAAACTCTGTGGATCAAGATGGGAACATTATATTGCAAGGAAACAAGTAGAGGTGAGAACACAATCACCTTATTATCAGAAAACGCTTTATGAAACCCAACACCGAAGAGATTCAGAGTCTCCTGAAGAGCAAACTGTAGTGGTTGATTCCCCTCAAAATCAAGCAATAACCAGGAGGAGGAACTCAGAAAACCTATCAAAACCACCAACAAGCTTAGAAAACAGTTTTGGGTCAATAAAAATGGTATTATAATTTTAGATTCAAAGTGTGCAGCTTTTAGCTCTGGGGCTGCATTGAGTCCCCCTAGTGGTCTTTGGCAAGATTGGCCTTCTAGTAACTATATTACAAATATTACTCAAACAACAAAAATAGAAAAATTCACCAGCAAAGTGTTTTTTAATATTTCCAAAAAATGTTCACTTTACAAAACAGCCACTGCCACATTCAAATTTCTCTCTTCTCCAAATCTTAATAGTCCTGGTAAGGCTATGAAGATTGCCTTAGCTCCATATGACTGTGCTCGGTTTCTGTACTCTGATTCTCCTTGCTTCATTTCTTCATTAGTGGCAATTGGTCTAATCATCGTAACTCCTGACCACGGTTACTTGAGAACTGTGCTTCTATATTTAATGACATTGTTTATTATTGGCTCTTATTGCTAATAATCAATTTGCTAGATGGGCCTTCAATATGTGTGCCATAACAATTCCTTTATGGGTATCTTGAACTATTGTTGTTAATTAATGTTAAAAAAGGTGGCGAAGAGGAAAAAATAAAAAGGTATACGGAGAAGATGGAAGAGTTAATCTAACAGATCCCACATTGGTTGAAGATAAAAATCCTTGGCATGAACCTTCCCACATACCTAGCTCAAAATTGATAGTTCAATCACGAAGCCATGCGGTAAGCACAGAGCGAACTATTCTTTCGCCTTTTACTAAAGAATACCGTGTACTTGCGGCTTTTTGGTGGCATACGTCTATTTTTGGAGGAGGGGCTGGCTCATTTGATTTCAGCCCCCAACTAAACCTAGTTCCAAGTTTTAATATTCTTCAATATTTTCTCTTTTTGAGCAAGTGAAAAACGGTATTATCGTTTTAGTTTCAATGTGTGCAGTTTTTGGCTTTGCAGCTGTAGTGAGTCCTGGAACCACCAGGATTTCTGTGAAATCTCCATTGACAAAGAATTATGATAGATATATAAACCCTAATACTAATTAAAGAAATTGGAAAAGATAAAAATAACACCGCATGCAATGGAGATATAGGAGCTTTATTAGAATTACTAAAAACAAGATCCTCTTCTTCTCCATAATGACATATTTACACCATCAGACACTGCATTACACATAGCAACAAAACTTTGTGGATCATATCAATGTTGTTGATGATCTTGTAAACTGTGTGGATCAAGATGGAAACACTATATTGCACCTAGCTACTGCAAGGAAACAAGTTCAGGTAAGAACATAATAGAACTTAATTATTTTTGTTTGGCCTGTTTTCTCATGTCCTTTAGAGGTATGACAATTAGTGAGATCTGAACTGTTAGTTTTCATCAATGTGTGACTGCTTGTGACGGTTACCTCTCAGGCTCTCACTGTTTGGCAATGGGATATATAGTAGCCTGTCCTGGTCTCTCCTTGTTGGGCAATGGAGGTTGTACTCTCCATCCATCCCCACCCTGTGGGGATTTTGCATCCTATGCGGGGCGGATCCCTACTTATTGTATAGCTTATGGTTTATTGGCCTCCTAATGAAAAAAGGACTGCAAAAATGACTTGGTTGAGAAGTGAGATTTCAACTCTTGTTGATTAGGGTTAGTCATATTGCCAGAGTACAAAGGAAGTTTTTTTTTTTTTTTTGTTTTTTCCTTCTCCACCAATCCCATATAATCCTCACCTATCTGGCAGAAAAATAGAAACAAAGGATACAGGTTTAAATTTCTTGTTAATGGCGAGTTGGTTTATGGGTATCTTGAATTATTGTTGGTTATTGATGCTTTCGTTTAATAATATATCCCACATCGATTGACGATGAAAATCCCGTGGTCTGAACCTTCCGACATAGCTAGCTGAAATTGCGGCTCAATCACGAAGCCTTGCGGTAAGAACAAAGCCAACTATTCTTTGGCCTTTTACTAAAGAATCTCATTAGATTTCTGATCATTAAATATATATGTATGTTAATTTATTGATCCCTATTACTAATCATCGTTAGGCCATTTTCAGTCATAGTCACAGCCACCACCTTTAATCATTAACGACTAACCACAGTTTGTTATTTTTTATATTTTTTTTCAATATTCAATAATAATATTTAGAATATGAAATTCCTTATAATTTTAAATGTTTTTATAAATTACACAATAAATTGTAAATTTTAATTTTTTTAACTAAGTTTTAATAATATAACCAAACAAGCAAAAATATTTTGGAAACAAACGAAAATGTAATTTCTAAAGTAAGATTTTAGTTTTTATATTTATTTTAACCTATGCAAAGGATAAAAAGATTAATACAAAAAGCGAGATGAAAATACGCTTTGTCATAGAGTTCGCCAGGCCCAAAAAGTGCAAGGCATGGGCGACGCATGAGAACCCCAAACATCCAGGTTCCAGCTACTATTATGGGCTCTTCCCCTAAAAAAATTAATTTAATATCATATGGGCCAATGGCCCACGTATCAGATACTATACTTTTAGCCAAAAGGCCGAGAAAGGTATGCTCAACTACATTTTTTTTCTCCCTTCTTTTATATCCCAACTTAGCCTATGGGTTTCTGTCGTTTTTCCAATGTGGATGATATAATATAAGAGATGGTTTCAGTCTTCTGCATTTGAATAAGACAAAATAAAATTACTGAGTACATAGGAAAATAGGTATTTTGTGATCTCCGCAGCTTCAACATTCCTATGCTTAGAAAGCAAGGTTGTAACTTGAAGGATTTTGTCTAATCTATGTATACTCTCCTGTGAAATTTCGATTGACGTGATCTTCTATATCTAGACCATAGTAAATATATAAATCTTATGCTGAAGAATTTGGAAAAGCAAAAAATAACATGGATCAAAGACTCTACATTGCTTCTTGCAATGGGGACGTAAGAGCTTTACAAGAATTACTAAAACAAGATCCTCTTCTTCTTCATAATGACATTCTTACACCATCTGACACTGCACTGCACATAGCAATAAAACTTGGGCATTTAGACTTTGCTAAAGTGGTTCTAAATCGAAACCCTGAATTAGCAACAGAGATAAATCAACAGGGATTTAGTCCAATTCATTTGGCTTCAACAAAAGGGTACTCACAGATTGTGACAGATTTGCTTAACATTAACAGCAAGCTCTGCTTTCTTAAAGATTGCGACGGAAGGACTCCTCTCCACTGTGCTGCCATAAAAGGAAGGCAGGTTGTTATGGAACTATTACTATCATGTTGCCCTGACGCAGCTAAGGAGCTCACTCATAGAGAGGAAACTGTGCTTCACCTTGCTATAAAAAATAAGCAGTGTGAGGCTTTCAAATCTTTACTTTCACTTCTTGTTCATAAAAATCTTGTTGATGATCTTGTCAATTGTGTGGATCAAGATGGAAACACTATGTTGCACCTGGCAGCTGCAAGGAGACAAGTGCAGGTAAGAACATAATCTAACTTTACTGCTCTTTTTCAATCGTTAAGCCAGACTACAAAAGAAGTCTGTTAAAAAAAAAAAGGAAAAAGAAACTCTAATTTATTGGATTTGTTTTATGTTTCAAAGCACAGACTATAAGAATTTTGTTAAAAGAGACAAAGGTGAATGTCAGTGCTGTGAATTCAAATGGCCATACTGCGTTTGACATTGCAAAATTAATCACGTCAGGAACCGATGACATGATCATTGAGAAAATGCTCTATGAAGCCCACCAACAAAGAGGTTCAGAATCTCCTGAAGAGCAAATTGTAGTGGTTGATTCCCTCCAAAATGAAGCAATACCCACAACGAAGTACTCAGAAAACCTAACAGTGCATGCAATAACCACAAATGTGGGCACAGTAAACCCATCAGAACCATTAAGAAGATTAGGAAAACGTTTCGAGTCAGTGAAAAACGGTATTATCATTTTAGCTTCAATGAGTGCAGCTTTTAGTTTTGGAGCTGCACTGAGTCCTCCTGGTGGTCTTTGGCAGGATTGGCCTTCTAGTAATAATTTTACAAATACTACTCAAACAACAAAAATAGAAAAGTTCATGAACTCATTACTCTTAGACCCAATTCGTTTCTTTCCAAAAAAAAATCAATTTTTAAAAACTCCATGTTTAAATTTCTCTTCTCCAAATCTTTTCCATCCTGGTAAGGCTATGAACATTGCGTTAGCTTCATATGATTTTGTTCGGTTTCTATACTCCGATGCTCTTTGCTTCACTTCTTCATTAGTGACTATTGTTCTGATCATTATAACTCCTGCCCGAGGTGATTTGAGAAATATGTTTATATTTTTCATGACACTGATTATCATTGGGTCTTCTATGTATCTCTACTACTGTGTTTTGGCTCTTATAGCTAATGAACAATTTGCTGGATGGGCCTTCAAGATGTTTGCCAGACAAATTTCTGGTTTATTGTTTACGACAATTTGTTTTTGGATAATCCCATTCTTTTTAATTAAGATTGTTGATTTTTGTTCAAGATTATTGTTGAGATCGTCATGATTGTTGTCGTTATTGAAGCTTTCGTCTAGTGGTATCTTACTGGTAACAATTGAAGAAGAAGAGTTGAGATATGATTTTCAAAATCATTGTATTTTTTTTTTTTTTTTAAAGTTCTATTGCGAACTCACATTACTCTTAGACCCAATTGTTTTCTTTCCAAAAAAATCAATTTTTTTCAAAAGACTCTTTTAAATTCTCTCTCAAATCTTTCCATCCTGGTAGGCTATGACACATTGCGTTAGCGTGATTTTTGTTCGGTTTCTTCCATCCTTTTGCTTCACTTCTTCTTAGTGGGGACTATTGTTCTGATTCATTATTCGTCGGGTCCTGATATAGGTGATTTGGAAATATGTTTATATTTTTCATGACACTGATTATCCATTGGGTCTTTATGTATCTCTACTACTGTGTTATTGGCTTATGCTAAATAACAATTTATGCTGAGATGGCTTCAAGAGTGTTTGCAGCACCAAATTTTCGGTTTATTGTTACGACAATTCTGTTTTTGGATATCCCATTCTTTTTTAATTACAGATTGTTGATTTTTGTTCAGATTATTGTTTGAGATCGCATGATTGTTGGTCGTTATTGAGCCTTTGTACTGTGTTCTTGATGGTAACAATTTGAAGAGAACGAGTTGATAGATATGATTTTCATCATTGTATTTTTTTAGAAAATAATTTTTTTTTTTTTTTTTTTTGGTTGTAATTGATGAATATCATTTTATGAATTTATATTCCTGTTTCTTTATTTGATTGAAAACAAAAATCAGTATAATTTAGGGAATTAATGAAATTTCATTATGACTCAATTTCCATTTCATTATTTTCTTTTATAGTAAATGCTCAAAATTTGATAAGTGTGATTGCTAAGGTTGGCCTAAACTTTTAAGGGCACCATACCAATTGTCTCATTGGCCCCCTTGTGGCTGCTGGCTAGCTGCCGCTGCTGGCCTGCTGCCACCGCCATGCTGTCATGAGAAATTTCCAAAGACTTGCCATTGGGTTGAGATTATAGGAGTGAATATTCGGTTTAATCGCATCCAACTCGTTGAGTTTGTTTTGATGGAATGAATTTTATGATAATTAAAATCAGACCAAATACTATGAAAATAGGTTTTGATATTGAATAAAATCAAATTGGTTTAGATTTAATCCGATTATTTTAAATTTAATCACCTATTTTGATTTAAAAAATAATAATTTGATTATCTATGTAAAAAACTAAACAATTGTCATTATTCAATCGGATAGTAACCGATTCGTTAAAAAGCTAACCATATCAAATCAAAATGAATCAATTCAATTTAATTTTTGGTCAGATCTGAATTTTTTGTTAGATCTGAAATGAATCAATTAAATTTAATTCAATTCAGCTTTTAAGTTGAACATTATTAGACTAAAATTTGATTTGAACTGAGCCAAACATTTTGTGAAAAAGCTCGGCTCATTTATACCCTTGATCCAAACAAAGGATTATAAATAAAGTTTACACGTGAAATTCATTTATAGCTTAAACCATCTAATACAGACCTCTTAATTTAGGCTATATTTAGATAGTCATAGAGTGTAGAAGGAAATAGAATCACTAAAAATAATAAGTGAATATCATTCCTCTTATTTGAAAGAAAAATAAAAAATTATTTTCCTTCTAAAATTTTCTTTCCGTTTGGAAGACAGTATATATATATATATATATATATATGTATTGGAGAACTGCCAGACCATGTACCATATTAATGGCTGGAGGTAAGTAGTAGTATGATATTTATATTTCAGAAAAGATATTTTTGGAAATAGAATTTTGTGACTAGGTTGAAAATCTAGTAGTTGGGTACTAAAAGTAAAAATATTGATAATATATATATATATATATATATATTCAAAAAGATATTTTTGAAATAAATTTTTGTACTATTAAAAATTCCTAATATGATACAAAATAAAAAATATTTGATAATGATAATACTCATTTCCTTCATTTTTATAGTAACTTTTTTGGAGTTATTTTGAATAAAATTATCGAAAAATGATTATTTAAAATTTTCTAAAAATCATTTTATTACCGTATTCTTTAACCTGACACTAGATTTAAATTTGAATTCTTTTTTTAGTATAAAAAAAAGTTAGATAAAATAATGTAGTAAATTAAAAATATTACTTTCTTAATTACAATAAAAATTTTAAAAATATATAAAAATGGGTGAAGGGAGTAATAAATATCATAATTATTATAATTTGCTGATTTAAAAAAAAAAACAATAAAAACTGCAAATTGATTAACGGAGAATTGGATCAACCGTTAATTCCTTTATCTCAATTTCCCACGCAATACTTACTTAAATTGAGCCAATAAATGCCTAAACATTAAATTATTTTCAGTCATCTCTAGACATAGTCCGAATAATTAAAAAGCAAAGGGCATAAATTTGGCATTCCAATTCCAAGTTCAGCCTCCATTAACAACTCCACCTCCAAAATTTGAAGAGAACAATCTTCATATCTTGTTTGTTGGCTGAGAATCATAACTTCAGGTCTTCACCTAACCAAACTAACGAAGCCCACATTCTTTATCAAAGTTAGTTACTTTATTCCTAAATACTCACTCTCAATTTTAAAAGTCAAATGGGATCCCATAGGTTACCTTAATCTGATCGTCTGACTGAGGATGTCCCAAGCTGACGTCTCTTACAGGTAAATCTAATGATCTCCTCATCTTTTTGTATATGGGTAATGGGTTTTGTTGTTGAATTTGTGTAAATTTGAGTCTGGACGATGATGATTTTGTTTATTGTTTTGCGTCTCTGATTGCGTTATTGTTTGGGTTTCATTTTCATTTTTAAAGGGTTTCAAGCTGATTGCTTGAATTGTTTGGCATTTTATGGAAATTATTTGTAATTTAACTTGTGCGATTAAACAGATCCTATGCTCTAACCGATTGTCTTTGATGGGAGGCATTTAATAAAGAAAATGATAGGAGGGAATATACGATCATGTGGATTTGGTTTTCGGTTGATGTATGGTTTAGCTCCATTCTGCTGTTTTGGATGAATTGCTGGCATCTTTTAGTGGAATTACAAGTTCTCTCATCAACCGGCTTGGTTAATGTATAGTTAATTTTTTTGTTTCAAGACTTTTTTTTTTTTTTTTTTTTTTCTTTGTTTTTTTTGATCTTAATTTAATGTCCAACTAGGATTTTACTTTTTTTTTTTTTTTTTTGATTAATTAATGTCCAACTAGGATTTGAACTAACTGACAACATTAATACCTTTAAGCCAAAACTCATTGTTTCTCTTTGAGGCATTCTATATAGAATAGAAACAGGATTTCCAATTTATTTGGTAGTTTATTTTAATTTGTTATCTTTATTTTGTTGATTTTGAGATATGAATGTCAAATGGTCTTTCATCCACCTGGCATGCCTAATGCTGATTTCAATATTATTCCATTGAAGTCTTCTGAAGCTTGAAGTGCTAGGGTGTTTAGCATTTTCATTTGTAAAATAAGGAACTTATCTGGGACATTTTGAGGGCTTTTAGCATAAGTTTCTCTTATTAAAGCAATATGTATGAATCAAGATATTTTCAATCTTGATATAAATACAGTTAACCGATGTTTCAACTATTAGTCATTTTCTCTTCTCACAAAAAAGAAAAAAAGTTGTTTCTTTTGTCTAATCATGAATTGAGTAATTACCATTCTTTGCTAATCCTCTGGTTGGTTTATCCACAATCAGTTCTTGGCGATTCTGTAGTTCAAGCAACTATAGAATATTAAGACTATTTAAATCTTCATGCCGTAGCAAATTATGTTCCTTTGGAAGAAGCATCTGAGCCAGTAGCCATTTCTGAGATCCAAAATGTGTACATCATTAGACTGCATTACAGTTAGCTAAGTTGGTTTAAGTTACAACATAAATGATTATGATGTTGCTTGATGAGTGCTTGTCAATTAAATTGCTATATTCTGATCATCTAGGTGTCCTTATTGCTGCATGCTATAAAGATACAAACCTTTTGAGGTGCTCTGGGGACTGTCATGTTACTTTTAGTTACTGATTAAGTGATGAAATTGTGGTTCAATTAGGTTAAAATGTCGGCTGTCATTGTCATTTACTTTAAGAAAGTTACTCAAATTGCCCACTGCTCAAACTTTATAGTTCCAAAAGATTGATAATATTTGGCTGACATATTTTTAAGGCCAAACTTAAAATAGATTTTGCATCATGTTATAGATATTTCACCACAAATTCTGGCCCTTACTACATTCTAAAATTCTAGTAAAATCTTTTCTTGTGTAATATGGCACAGTTGAAGTTGCCAGAAAACATCATATCTCTTAATATATCCAACATTACGAGCAACTGATGTCGCAGTATTCCAACTAAGATGCTGGGAGAAAAATACTACTGGATTGTTTCCTCATTGAACTTCTGTATTGTACATTGTGCAGCCTAATTAGGTTGAACTTGGTAGTTTTTTTTTTTGTTTGTTTTTTTTTTTTTTTTAAATTTTGAGACAACATACTACCTGCGACTTGTATTCCCTTCCATTGAACCTTCCCTGTTCTGTACACTTGCTGCAGCCTAATCTACGGTTGAACTTGTAGTTTCCTTCTTCTTTTTGTTTGCTTCATTTTTCTTCGTCTTTTTCAAACTTATCCTTCTTGTAAACTGCCGTTTCAGTTCTTAACTTTAAAAGGCAATGTTTTTTTTTTTGTTTGTTTTTTTTTTTTTTTTAAATTTTCTTTAGTAACTGCGTTTAGTTTAATTTAAAAGGCAATGAGCCCATTCATCACCTCTCTTCCTTTATTTGCCGACTTATTGCCTGCCAGGAATCACAAATATGTTTCCAGAGACTATCATTTCATGTCTCTGCAATCTTGTGTTCATCACACTTCTGTAACATTTCTGCCATTTTTTAGACAAATGATGATCAGCCTTGAAGAGCTGAGATATCATAAAAATTTGATAAGACCATCTAAACAGCTTAGCAAATTAATATTCTTATCCATAAAACCTTTTTGGTTTGGTGTTTGTAAAATACATATGATATCTTATGTTTCTCTTCATGTTGTACATTAAGGCTTGCTTCTTGATATTTGTTTGTGACAAATTTTCCGTTTTCCTTTGCAGTTGTGGGTCTTGTGGATACCCTTTGAATTTAACATCTTCCAATCGAATTACGTCCAACATAGATTCTGAATATCATAAATCCATTAAGAAAGGTTTTATCTCCTTCATAACTGTTGATCTTAGCCGATTCACTCAAGTTGATGAGGTAAATTGCCTTCCCTTCTATTGGGGTCGTTATCGTTCTAAAACTAAACTGCTCTGCCGTAAATGCGGGGTTCATATAGGCTATGGATATGGAGATTCTCCTGCTCTCTGTGGTTTTGACTCTCCCATCTCATCTACCTCTGCTTACAAAAAGTTTACCATAAAAATCCGAGCTTTACAGCCATCACAAGAAAGCTAACAGATTTAATATGGAAGTTCATTCAATGGATGTTCTTACCTCTGTCATGCAGCTACCTGATGATTGCCTCTGTATTATTTTCAAATGGCTTGACTGTAGTTCTGATCAAGAATCATTTGGATTGACTTGCCGACACTGGTATAATATTCAAAATATAAGTCGTCGTTCCTTGCAATTCCATTGCTCATTCAACCTGCTTAACCTTTCTTCTTTATCTAATACTAGCCTTCGTATTGGCTCCTACCATGTCCATAGGCTGCTCATTCGTTTTCAGCATTTAAACAGTTTGTCACTATCTGGTTGCACGGAGCTTCCTGATTCAGGCCTAACCCCATTGCAATTTTATGGTTCGAACTTGCACTCGCTTCATCTGGATTGCTGTTGTGGAATCACAGATAATGGACTTTCCCTGATTGCTACTGGTTGCCCCTCTCTAACAGTCATTAGTCTTTATCGATGCAATATCACTGACATTGGCTTAGAAACTCTAGCTAATGGTTGCTCGGATTTGAAGCGAATAAATCTAGCATACTGCACACTCATTTCTGACCATGGACTGAGAGCTCTTTGTCAAGCGTGCCATCAGCTTCAGGCAGTTAAAATATCTGGTTGCAAAGAAATAAATGGTATTGGACTTACAGGGTGTTCACCAACTTTAGCTTACATAGATGCAGAGTCTTGTAACCTTGAACCAAAAGGGATAGCAGGAATTGTTAGTGGAGGCGGGCTCGAGTATTTAAATGTGTCTGGTATAAGCTGTTGTATTCATGAGGATGCTTTAGCAGCAATAGGTTCAGGTTTTGCCACAAGGCTTAAAATCCTTAATCTTCGGATGTGCAGAGCAATTGATGATGAATCCATTGTTGCAATAGCAAAAGGGTGCCCACTGCTTCAAGAATGGAATTTGGCATTGTGTCATGCTGTCAGGATTTCAGGATGGAAGTCTATTGGGCTCAATTGCAACAAATTGAAGGAACTCCATGTGAATCGCTGTCGAAATTTGTGTGATCGTGGTCTGCAGGCTTTAAGAGAAGGATGTAAAAGGCTCTCAGTTCTATATATCAGTAAGAATTGTCGATTATCTTCCGCTGCAATAGAGTTGTTCAAATTATATAGATATAATGTTGAAATCAGAGAAGAAGAGATAATGTGTATAGGACCTGACTGGAAATAAGATGATGATGGGTGATACTAGGGAGTGGCCACCATCCGGTTTCGGTTCATGACCCCACTGAGCCATAATGGACTGGCCAGAGCCAGTCTGGCTCTGATACCTAGACCCTGGGTGCCATCCCTTTTGAAATGCCTATAGATTCCATAATTGTTTCAAACTTCCGAATTACCTCTCCAATTGAGATGCTAGAATTTCCCTGTAGAATACAGAATTTTTTTTTGTATCTCTACTAGTTTGCTTGCACTGATGAATACTTAACTTTTGGACAGAAATGAGAGAGTACTATATTCTTAACACCAGCAATTGTATTATGGTATGAATTTTTAACATATTTCAATATGGAAATCTGAGAAACAATTGAAATATATGATTCTAGTTAAATGCAGACTTTCCCTTTTCTTTTCCCCAAGCCCTACATTAATTGTTTCTGTAAATTTCTGACATTGCATATTATCATTTATGGGATCCTTATAATGTTATGATTATAAGTTTATAATTAATGATTATGATGATTTATGGGGCCACTTGTTCGTTAAAATGATTTCATGTTGATTGATCATAGAACATGTTTATATGGAACAAACAAAAAACATGCTGGAATGGGGACAAGAAAAACAGATTTTGTTAAAAGTAGATAATTATAAACTATTTTCAAATTCGGATAGCTAAATCATTAAAAAAAACTTTAAATTTTACGGGTAATTTTAATTATGCTCTAAATTCAATTGTATTCTTCTAGTACCCTGAATTTCAACTTTAATTACAATAGCGCTCCTTCAACTTTAGTTACAATAGCATTTTAATTTCAAATTGTATCCAATTTAATGATTAAAATATTATTTTGGTTGGACTTATATTATCTCTTAATCAAAAACTCACTGTCTAATAATACTCTAACTAATATTGGTTAGGAATTTAAATTCATAAAAAAGTAACATAAAATAATAAATTTTAGTTAGTTATAAGGCTTTTGTTTTACCATTTTTTAAGCGTGGAGTTTTGTTTATACTTAAGTTAAATCTCTTATAAAAAAATGCTTATTTAGTATAGTGTCATTTTATTTTTAGATAATCATTACTTGTTGTCAATATTATATAAATAAATAAAAGTATTTTATTTGTAAAATGAATATATTTTTTATTTTAATATTTTAGCTTTTGTCTGTGAACCACTTTTTTAAGCGATGGCAGCTTTGTTTATAGCTTAAAGTTAAGTCTCTTTATAAAAAAATGCTTATTTAGGATATAGTGTCATTTTATTTTTAGATAATCGATTACTTACTCAGGATTGGTCAATATTATTAATAAATGAACAAGTATTTGTTATTTGTGATGAAATGAATATATTTTTTATCCCTTTATATTTTTATATAAATAAAATTCATATAAATATTTATTTATTTATTTAATTTATAGCAGTGTTGTACAGATGGGGAATAGGAGTATCTTATTTGGGAAAACGGTAATTGATCCCATAAAGTCAATTGATTTATTTTCTTTGAAATTAGGATACATTTAAAACATATGGTGTTATTATAACCTAAAGGTCGAAGTTCAAGCTTTGCTAGGGCAGAAGAAAGTTAGATTTTATTTTTTAATATTTTATATAAATAAATATAAATATTTATTTATTTATTTATTTATAAGCAGTTGTAGTGGGGAAGGAGTCTTATTTGGGAAAAAGGTAATTGAATCCCATAAAAGTAATATTTTATTCTTAAATTAGGTACAATATGAAACTATGGTGTTATTATAACTAAAGTCGAAGTTCAAGGTGCTAGGAGAAGAAAGTTAGATTTATGGTATAATTAAAAATACCTACAAAGTTCGGAGTATTTTTAATGGTTTAGCCCAAAAAAAAATTAACAACTAAGCTTGTATTTTCAAATGTTATTTTTTACGGTGTATGTTATTTTTTATAGTAGTTTGTAGCATAGTATTTTAACTAATTTTTAGAGATTAAAATAATTTTTTTATAAAAAAACTACTCAAACACCTATTAGCTAACACTACTAAAACAACTAACAGCTAATTTTTAAATCCTAAATATTTCAGGTAAAAAAAAAATATATATGTATGCTTTCTCCAACTAATTAACCAAGGTTTGAATTTAAAACCAAAAGGAAAATAAATAATCCATTTCCTGTGTGATTTGTTGAATTTTAAATTTGTTCCTATGTAAATAAATTTATTAACTAAATGTAATATTAAAAACTAAATTATGATTTTCCTTATTTATAGTTGGCATACTCATTCAAAATTTTATTAAATTATACATTTTGCTTTATACTACGCCCACCGTCAAAAAGAAATATCGTTGAAATAAGTTATGATTTTTTATTTATTTATTTCATATACTTATAATATTTAATTTAAATAACTTCTAGTATAAAGATTTATAAGCTAAAAAAAAAAAAAAAATTGTAATGCATGTGTTAAGTAGCTAGTTAACTTGCACACCAAACAATAACTTAATGGTAAGTATATATATGTCCTGATAATAGATCCAGGTTCAAATCTCCTTTTTGCAATACTAAAAAAAAGAAATAAATATTTATATAAAATAACTCAACTAGTAGCCATTTAAAGTTTTTGCACGAAAATTAAATAACATTTAATTCTCCTAAATTATAATAAAATCAATAATTACTTGTAAAGTATTTATTATATTAGTGTAAAATCAAAAAAGATTTATATTTTTGCAATACTAAAAAAAAGAAATAAATATTTATATAAAATAACTCAACTAGTAGCCATTTAAAGTTTTTGCACGAAAATTAAATAACATTTAATTCTCCTAGATTATAATAAAATCAATAATTACTTGTAAAGTATTTATTATATTAGTGTAAAATCAAAAAAGATTTATATTTTGCGACAGCGGAGTAATTGTTTTCTTTTATAACTTATTAAACAAAATTATTGTGAGTAAATGGTTAAAAGAAACTCCTGAAAAGCTTTAAAAAGCCACATATATACACCATTATTCTCTTTTAATAACTTATTTAATAAAATTAGTTTGTTACTAAATGAACAATACAAATTACTCAGAAGCTTTAAAAAGCATGTATATGCATTCAAAAATTAACTTGTGACTAAATGGAAAAAGAAAACTACCTAGTAAATGTCAATTTCAAATAATATAAGAATAAACAGTTAGCTAAATAAATTACTTAATTTAAGAAATAAAAATTATTTAACTGATAACTGACTAAATAAATTAATAATGAATAAAACTGAAATAATATTTATTTTCTTTTAATAACTTAATTAGTGACTAAATGGAAAAGAAGGCAGCTCAGCTCAATAAATATTACTTTTATAAGAAATGATAATCGTTCAATTAAAAAAATAATTTGAATATTATAAAAAAATTCATTCCAGTAATAATTATTTCTTTGCTTTTTCTCCGGTCAGTGAAAGAATAAAGTAATTGATAATCATTTTTTTTATGATTTCCAAATAAATAATTTCACATATTTTAATTTAAAGAAAATAAAATTTTAAATTTAAAAAATTATATTACTAAAATTTAAAATACAGATATAGGGTGGGCAAATGGATGGTTCTATTTCGAAATAAATAATAAAAATTAAAAAAATACGATTTAATTGAAATCGAACTAAATGGAAATAAATTTAAAAATCAAATCAAACAAGTTCATTCGATTTTATGGACATTGGTTCGGTTAAATGATTTGATTTTGCTACGAGAGTTAACGATAGGGATATTTTTAAATTGATAATAGAATACTCCTCCTCTTCTACTTCATCTCCAGGCTCCAGCTTCAAATTGAAATATCCATCTTCGATCGTCAGTTTCTAGCCTCTCTTCCACCACACTTCCTTCGTACTGTCAGAGACTCTGGCAGCACCGCCATTAATACAGCAACACCAATCTCAATCTCCTTTTTTTTAGACGATGTTGTTTTAGTGTTTTTACACCAAGTTTGAGGTTTTCTGTTTCCCTTAAAACCCCAAATTACCAAATTTGTGAATTGTACGGTAAGCTTTCCCTTTTATACTACTCTTAATTGTCTTCAAAGTAAGTTCTTACTTCTTAAATAGCAAATGAGGTATGTCTCATATCATCACATTTTTTTTTTTTTTGTGGCATATTTGTTTTTTGTTGCAGTAATAATTGTAGAAGGGTTTGGCATATTTCCGCCATTTCTCATTTGTATTTTTCATCAATATTTGTCCCTTCTTAATTTGTAAAATGTTTTGCAGAGTTCTTTGTTTTCTTTTTTGGATTATGAAATGAGATTTTTTCTTTTAGTTTTGGGGATTTTTTGAGGCTACACATTGAGGTGTAGAGAGAGATTTCTTGAGCTAGTGAAGTAGAAATTGCTAAAGCAAAATGAAGCGTTAATGGCGATAGCCAAAGCTGCAGGCTAATTGATGAAGGAGCTCTTGCCGGAAATGGACAAAGATGATAGGGGTACCCAAAACTAGAATAGAAGAAATCTGAAAAAAAGCCTAAAACTCTTTTCGCCGGCCGGCTATTGTTACGGTACCGTTAACTGCTTTACTAGCTTTCCGCTGTTTTACTAAAGGTCAAAGGTTAACTGTCAATGCTGTTACTTATTTTAATAATTTTTAACCGTTTTATTAAAACTATTAGATATTAATTGTTAGCGGTACTGTCAGTTATTTTGATGACTTTTAGCTGTTTTAGTAACGGTTAACTGCTAGATATTAATTATTAGTGGTACTGTTAATTGTTTTAATAACTTTCAGCTGTTTCATTAACGTTTAATCGTTAGATATTAATTGTTAGTAGTTAATCGTTTATATAATTGTTATAGATTAGTTGGTTATATAACTGTTTAGAATAAAATGTTTAATAAAAATAAAAATAGTAAAAATAATTGTTTAAAACCGTTAAATATCAACCGGCAGTGGTTAGTTGTGTATATAAACGGTTCAAAATAAAAAATTTAATAATAATAAAAAAAATAATTATTTAACTAGTTATTTAATATAAAACGACAAAAAAAAATATTGTCGTAAAAAACGATAAACGTTAAGGAATTCGAATATTTCAGTAAACATCTCTCAAACTCTAAATCCACGATAAAATAGTATTTTAATCCAATGAAAACACTTGGTATATGCAAACAGTGGGGCTGTTATTAATCTTTTGTTAATTATAAAAAATTGGTCATGCTGTAGCCCTAATATATTAAGCCAGTTTCAGCTGGCTGTTTGAACAACAGATAAAAAAAGGAGAGCGGATAGAAAAAGTAAACCCCGTTCGTTCAATCCATCATCCTTTCGTTCACAAGCCACCACCCATTAATAAGCCAGCAGTTTCTTGAATTTCCACATTAATTCTTTAAACAATGGAACCCGTTTATCCTGAAGAACTCAAAGAGGATACTGCAGCAGCTTTAACTCTTTCTTCTCTGAAGCATACAAAGTTTGACAAGAAAACTCTTTCTACTTTGCACGCTATGAAAAGCAATTTTCTAAACCACAGACCATCGTCACTAACCTCGCAACCACAAGTTCAAGATTTTCCAGGCAGCAGAGCCATCATTCGTCAATTAACAGGCCAACCACGGTCATTATTACAACTGAAGATAGATAATTATAGGCCTGCTGATATTCCTCCAATTGCAAAGCTGAAGGGGCAAATAGGAAGGTGCAGTAAACCCTTTGAGAAGCAATTGACGAGTAGCGACGTCAGGTCTGATCAGAGTAGGCTAACTCTGAACAAAGCATATGTTGAAAGGAGTATTTTGCCTTTGTTGAACAGAGAGGAGGGGAATCTTGATGATGGTATCAAAGTGACAATTTATGATCCTGAAGGTAATGAGTACCCTATGACATTGAAGATGTGGGCTTCAAAGGTTTATGTGCTTATGGGAGGTTGGAAAGAGTTCTACCAGAAGCAGAAATTGAGAGAGAATGAAGATTTTGTTACCACCTGGTTTTTTTATAATGTTAGGACAAGGAAGTTTTGTTTTGCTATTAATTGGAGAAGACTGCCAATTTTTGCACCCATTAAGAGAAAAGTAATACAAAATAGTTAGCCAATTTTGCCCCAAGGAGTAGAGGGTACAATGATTATAATTAGAGCAGGAGTAAATTGAGAATAGGAGTAAATATAGGTAACATGTGTGTTAGGATTATTTTGGTTTGATGCTTCAATATACAGTTTCATGAGGGATCTCATCCAAAACATCTTGTCAAGATTTTTATTGATATGGATTGTTTTTTATTGATTTCTCCAATTGATTTTTTTTTTTTTTTTCTGTGTCTACAAGTGGATATGGTGTGGATTGACTATTCCATACATAAAAGTTTTATTCTGAGTATTAAAAGTTGTCGCTTCATTACCTTTCCCTACTGCTTTGCTGTGAGTGGCAATGAGTGTTTATAGCTGCATTATACTCCTTTAATTTTTGTTTTCTTGCTGCTTTTTTCTCTTTTATATATTATCGTAGGTGTTTTATGACAAAGCTTGGACCTGTGCTCTATGGTCAATTCAAATATGTATCCTTTCATAGCTGATTAAGAGAGATCATGTGCTAAACACTTAACTCAGGTTTTACTTTAAATTCAATTACTTTTTAAGTCTTACTTGGCATCAATTAGCTGCTTGGTAGAAAGGGAAGCATATGCTCAATGGCATTAATCAGCTGCAGCCTTTGGATTATCAAATAGGTCATAGTCATTATGAAAGTTCACAAGGTTTTATCATGATACAAGATTGCCAAGAATAAGAGCATTTAATTTGCTTAGGTCAGTCAGCGCTTTTAGATTCTGTAAACCATTTACTACTTGCTATAGGTATTGGTTTTGGGTGCCACATGTTATTGATTGCATAAATGTAAATTATATTGTTTTAGTTTTTGACGCTATTGACCACTTTGAAATTTGATCTAATTAACACCGGTAAATTGATGAAGCCAAATTGAAATATGGTTTTCTCTCACTCTCTTCGTTGTTTTGCTTTTTGTTGATCATGAAAACAAAGAATGCAGGGAGTTTAGCAATTTGTCCATTATCAATTGTTACTGTTCTTTATATTTGTTGAAGTCTCTCTCTCCCTTTTTTAATGTTTTTATGGGTGCTTATTTGACTCATTTTTTCGTGGGACTTGGATCTTTTTAGTTCTTCTGAAAACGCTTAGGATGGGCTGAAAGTACAGTTGTGGCAAATTGCTTATATTAATTATTTTCTCATTTATATTTATCTTCTTTCCTGTTAGTAATTATTTTATGTCATGCAACCAATAGGGGTGGATTAGCTGAGTTTGCGGTGGCTGGGAAGAACTCGACAGTAGCAAGGCCACCTCAAGTCTCAGCAGCTGAAGGTGCTGAAAGAAGGATAATTAGATATAGTGTTTTGCTGTTTGCTTGTGTTTGAGATATTGAAAATGGGTACTTTTTTTACTTGCCAAATGTTTTAGTTCCCTTACTGCTAGAAATACGAGATTTGAAAACCCAAATTTTATTTGTTTTACAATTTATCGTTGATTTATTCTCAGCCTAATCTATCCTATGTTTCTCAGAATATAAAATGCCTTTTTAACAAGTTCAAATATTCTATTCTGCTTGAAATTTACACTGTTCCTTTTTACTTGAGAGTTTGTTACATGTGGGTATTCATTTTTTTTTTTTTTTCATCTCTTATATTTCAGCTGTGTGTAAGAAAATCACCATTCTCAAATTCCTGTGTAAAGAGACGTGAAATGCTGTTTTTTTTTATTAATTTTTTTTATTCACGATGATTCTTGCATTGTTTTTACTTAATTTTTTTAGGAAAAGAAAGTAAACATGCTTCTATAAAAGAGGGACTGTATCTCAAAACTGAAGGCTAGCAAAATTGCATTGTTTTACTTTATTAATCAATGTTACTTACCTATTAAATTTGACATTTTATATACCATTAAATTGACTCAAGCTAATTCTAATAATGTTCCAATGAAAATGAAAATCTTTATTTTTTAGTAATATGAATAATTTACAACATTATATCATAAATAAAACATTAATGAAAAATCATACATAAAAAAAAAAATTAAATCATGAGCACATACAAGAAGTATGCAATACATATTTTTAAAAACTAATATCTGTAATAGCTTAATATGTGAACTTTAATTTTGGGCTTTTTGAAATTATAAAATGTTTTTTTAAAAATATTTTTCTTATTATCGCGGTCAACTTTTTTGTTATGATGGTTAGCCTTTTATTTTTTTGGCATTGCGGGGCAGCACCTGAAATCACCTCCACGCCATAAAGTTTGAGCGCTATACCAGTAGCCGGAAAAACGAGGCTTCTCAAGCTAGCCATCATTTATATCCACTTTGATTTACTTAAGATGACGTTACAACGTCATTTAAATATAATACTAAAACATCACCTCCACTTATCGAACATCTCCCCAGGCCAACATTTATAGGTCATTATGATTTCTTCTTCCCCTTTCCACTTTTACAAAATAAGAAGGAAGATTTGCATATATTCTGTCTGGCAGACGCTGGCTTCTTGAGAAAGAGAGAGAGAGAGTGTGTGTGTGTATTTTATTCCAAACAAACAATTATATGTAATTTAGCAACCCAACCTCAAAAGATAAGAGCAGCATTGCATCCATCTGCACTTCAGTGACGTAGCTCTCAAATTCTTGTTCGTATATCGCGAAATGGGCACAAAGTGGAAATTGTCATCTTAACCACTAGGAGCATCTCCCCATACATTATCCCATGCACCACTAGGAGCTCCCTTAGGCCCCTCAAGGTAGTTTTGATTCCCATGGGGATTGTGAGGAGCAGGAAGTCCATCGGGTCCTGGTCCTTGAACCTTCCTGGGTTTTGTTTTGATTCCCAGCAATCTCAAAACAAATCTGGCCAACTCTCCATACAATAAGCCTGTGCGATCGAAGAGCTGCAAAAGAAAATTCCATGAGATTGTGTAATCAGATAATCATTAGACCCCACCTCAGTCAAGACTATATTCAGTTCCACTAATTAAAGCATTGAATTCTATTCTAACTTTTACATTACTTAATGAATAGGTAAGGAACACAACCTGAAGCATTGCAGTCATGAACATGTGAAATGCCTGCGTGTTCTGGTCTATCAGAATTGATATCCGGCCAAAAAAGTTCACAACGCCTTGCATCTGCATCATTGCACACCAAACAATTATAAGTTTAAGTTTGCAGACTGTAGAAATACCATTTATTCCATAACAAAAATCTCTATTATTATTAGAGACCACAAATTAAACAATGCATTATACATCTGAAGAACATCACATTTAGTGGTTTTTGGTAAGCTGAAAACTTTGCCCCCACATCCTCAACAGTCTGGGACAAAGAAATTTGGTCAATTTGCTGCAATGGAACAACATATCTAGATACCCTCAAAATTGTGCTGAAGACAATCAAGTCCCATTGTCCATTCGATGATTCTCTTCAGAATCTGAAGGAGCATTCCATATCCAAAGCCTTACTCAAAAATACATTAACATGCTGCTAAAACATTATATATTCCATGACGACTTTTAATGGTACCAGTTAAGGTAGCAATTTAAACAATACATTCAAATGGAATGTCACATTTAATCCTTTTTAATTTCTAGCTTCAAAAATTTTACTCCCTAGTTCTAAATAATTTCGGAGGGCAAAAAGTTGGTCTAGTGAGAGTAAACAGTACATCAAGATATCAACTCCAATCGCAGCCATGGATGATTCTCACTCGAATATGCTACATTCTTGTGGGTACGCATTTCCTGAATGCTTCCCTCTTGTCAAACTTTTCCTTGGTTTTAATAGATTTTGCCTTTTGATTTCATCAGAAAATCATGGTCCATAGCCAGGGAAATGTCTGTGGTTAGATGTTGCTTACAATTCATTAGTACTAACAAGACTAGGTACAAAAAACCAAGATCTAGGAATGATGAATAAATTTCATCAGGCCAGAGAACTGCTCAAAAATGCACAAGCATATCACAAGAAATGAGAATGAGAGACTCTTTTATCCATATTAGATATAGTTGAGGAACCCATCACTGCCAAAGGTTGAGATAAGTAACAGATATTTCAAACACAAAAAAAAAAAAAAAAAAAAAAAAAAAAAAAAAAAAAAGACTCTTATTATCCATAATTAGATAATAGTCTGAGGAACCCATCACTGCCAAAGTGTTGAAGAATAAGTAACAAGATAATTCATCAAAAACACAAAGAAAAAAAAAAAAAAAAAAAAAAAAAAAAAAAAAAAGAGTTAAGGATAAATTAGTTACACACTCGAGTAGGAAGAAATACAAAAAAAAAAAAAAAAAAAAAAAAAAAAAAAAAAAAAAAAAAAAGTTAAGGATAAATTAGTTACCACTCGAAGGAAAGAAATCCAAAAGCCAGGAGGAGATGATGGAGCACCATAAGGATTATTTGGATCTTGATCACCGTAAGGACCCATGCCCATTCCATAACCACCCATTGGACCACCAAAACCACTATTGTACATTCCTCCACCACCATACATGCCACCTCCATACACCCCGCCATAACCACCTCTGTACATATTGTTTCCATACAATCCGCCACCATAAGACCCTCCCATTCCACCATACGAAGAGCCATACATTCCAGAACCGTATCCAGAATTATAATTTAGCCCAGAGCCATAACCTGCAGTGGACATGTAAATAATTAGCTCTGTTGAAAACACAGATAAACATACACAGATACAGCTGCAAACCACTCCTAGACCAACAAGGCTGGAATTCACATGGTATTGTGCATTTCCTTAGTGAATACTGTCCCCAAAGGTATTCTTTTAGTTAGTTTGACAGTGCATTCGAAAAAAGCAGGAGCCAATTAATTTCTTTGAAAGTCATAAGT